ACAGGATCAGCTTGCTGCGGTACTCCTTGAGGCGCTGGATGTTGCGCTGGCGGGACTCCAGGGATTTGTTCTTGCGCCTACGGTCGACGGCGATGCCAATGGTCTTGGCGAAGCTGGCGCCAATGCCTGCTCCCTGTGAAAAGTTTGAGATTGGGTTAGCCAGTGGATTGGAAGGGTAATCTTGCCGTGCGGCACCACTCACCTTCAGCTCCTCCAGGGTGAAACCACGGCCGGCACGCAGCTTGGTGTGGTAGCGGATGGTGGGGCAACGCACCACTGGGCGCAGGGCACCGCTGGCGGGGCGGGGGAAGACGGCCTTGGCCTTCTTGACGCGGTTCGCGTGCCTCCGGATCTTGCGGGCCGGCTGGTTGAACCAGGTCTTCACATGCCGCTGCCACCACTTGTGGTAGTGCTGATTCGGAATCATATTGTTACCCTTACCCATCTTGGCGGTTTAGATTGGCTGCAACAAAGGGCGAAACAATAAAAACATTAATGTCTGTAGATGTAAACGATAAACGGCAAATGCGGCATAACCAATCTGCAGGCCCACGTGGCTGAGTCATTTTGTTTATTTCGCCCTTGATTTAGAGCACTTTCAAAGTTCTATGGGCAGTCACTGAGGACCCAATGTGTCCTCCACACACCGCACACTCGATGGTCAAATTTCCATTGCGTTTATCTTTTATTTTCATTAAATTTCGGGACGCTCACAAAATTCACACACCTTTTCTTCCCAACAACGAATTAAAAAGGAAATCGCAACCAACTTCACGTCGTTGAGCAAACGAAAATTTCCCTTCGAAAAATTCCCTAAAGCGAGCGAAGAGCGAGAAATTTCCCCAGCTATCGATTGGTGATGCAATCAGTGTTAGCAAGAATACCCAACAAAACGCATTTTTTTCGCTCAACAGCCGCATTAAAAATAAAAAACTGTGACGCGAATATTTTATCAGCCATCAAAAATAAGTAAAAATAGTTTCGAGTGCATTTTGAGCATTTATTAACGTTTAATTGCCTTATCGATTGACTGGCGTGTCGCGTGGCAACTCTGAACTGTACCTCTGATACAGATAAAAAACTATTGACTATTGAACCGTCTATCTATAATCGAGAAATTGCGCGCTAATTCCTGCATTGGCCTGCAATCGTAGTCGATTGCGATCGAATCTGAATCAAAACAAACGTCCTAATCCCCACGAGAAACGGAGATGAGTGAAGAGGTGTCCGCGTCGCCGGTGGCCATTGCCGACCTCAAGTACGAGGATGTGTCGCAGCTGAACTTTTCCAAACTGTACTCGCCCAAGATGAAGAGCGTCTACTGGCGCTACTTTGGGTTCCCCTCCAACGACAACAACGAGGTGATCACCAAGCAGAACGTGGTCTGCATCAAGTGCCACAAGGTGCTTACCAATCACGGCAACACCACCAATCTGCGGGCTCATCTCCAGCACCGGCACAAGGATCTGTTCAAGGAGCTGTGCCAGGAGCACGACATTCATGTTCCGCCGCGCAAGACGCCGCGCAACGTGACCCATCCGCCGCTGTCCAAGCGAAATGTGTCCTCGCGCCGGGTGAAGCTGGAGTTCATCAACAACCGCAATCACGACAACGCCTCCGACGAGGAGATGGACGAGGCCGCCGTGGCAACTGCGGCCATGCAGGCGGAGGAGGACGCCTCCTCCCAGACCATGCTGTATGAGACCATGGTGCCGTTCACCTACGACGAGGCCGAAAATCTGGTCGAGGAGGAGGACCAGCGCCTGGTCATGGAACCGAAATACGGTCGCAAGCGTAAGGTGGCCACGCCATCGAGCGCACTGCACGGGCGGGCCATTAAGCACGAGGATGGAGGCTACACAGTGGCCAATATCGCCAATCTGGCCGAGGCACTCACGGACATCATGATCAAGGATCTGCGCAACGTGGAGTTCCTCTACGACGCCGGTTTCAGCGACTTTGTGCGCCAGGCCATGGGCGGATCGGCTCACATGCCCGAGCCGCACAAGATCGAGTCCCTGATCAGCGAGATGCACGCCTCCAAGTTTCTGGAGGTCGGCGAGATCACGCGCGAGTTCACCTCGGAGAAGCCCTTCTCCTTTGCCTTCGAGCACTGGGTGAATGTGGAGCAGCGCCGCTTCCTAAGCATCTTCCACCACTATCTGGACGAGGAGACGCAGTCGGTGAAATGCTTACTATACGCCACCGTGGAGTACACCGAGTACATCGTCTTGGACGATCTTCTGACCGACTTCTATTTGCCCAACTGCACGCTGGCCATCATAAACTACGATGACGAGGAGGACTTGCTTTACACCTATCTGCGGGAGAAGAGTAAGTATTTTGATATGGTTTTACTGTCCTTTGTACTTAAGTCTTTCTAAGTTTTGATGTTTATTTTTATAATTTAATGAGATTTAAAGAGAAAGTATGACTTACTACCTCTTGTTTTACAGATATTCCCATTGCTTTGTGCTACGTTTCGGTCATTGATAAATGCTTGCGACGCGTCTTTGAGCTCGACGAGGTGGCCCCGCTTTTGGAGCAGGTAAAGGAACTCATGCAGCGCCACTCGTCAGAGATCGCTTCCAAGGTATCGGAACTGCCCCCATACAACGAACACTTCCCTTGGACACTGTACGAGACGCTCAAGTTCTTTGCCGAGTCGATCTCGTGGTCTGAGGACATGGATCAGCTGGTTATCTCGGCCAAGACGGTGACCGAAGCACTTAGTGCCCTGGTGGTAAGCATTAATCTAACTTAACATGTGAACACATTTCTTATTGACTTGAAAATCGTTCAGATTGCTTTGGACACACTGCGTGGCGAGGATATCCCCTTGTGCAGCATGCTTTCCCCAATTACGTCAAAGATTCTCATCAAGAAGCTGGGCATTGCCGAACAGGACGATCCGCTAATGATGAATGTGAAGCGCACTATTTCTGGTGTTCTGCAGGCCCACATCATATCCAATGACAACCTGACCGCAGCTGCATTATTGGACCCGCGCTTCCACCGCCTGACCACCATTGACAACCTGGAAAGATGCGTTCGCATGCTGACCCATAAGTATAACAAGAACTTTGGCGGGTCGGCAGAGGGTGAGAGCAACGAATTGGCGGCCACCTCTTCCAGCACTGTGGCCATCAAGTCGGAATCAAGAACGGGAGGAGTCAGTGCAGCTGGGAAGTCGAGTAAGTAAACAAGAAAGTGCATATTATAAATCACAACTAACACAACATTTTCTGTAGAACTGGAACTGCTGTTCGACATTGCCGATATTCCTACTCCTCCAAAGAAGGAGAACGACAGCTGCGTGGAATCGGATCTTAAGCGGTACCGCAACGAGGTTGTCGTCCAGCTGGATGAGTCGCCCATCGAGTGGTGGCTTAAGATGGGTCACGTCTATGGAACGCTGCGTGACTTGGCAACGCTTTACCAGAGCGTTCCCGGCGTGGTGACCCTCAGCTTCAAGAAGGCGCTTCGAGACCAAATATACGACTATAACAAGCGCTTCATGCTCACAGGCAGTCAAATCGACGCGATCCTCTTCCTTCATCATCACAACAATTAGAATGCATTCGACTTTCCCTGTTTTTATATAATACAATTACATTTTAATTACTTTAAATTTAATCCGATCTTGTGTATATGAACATGATTACCAGGGGCAGGGCAAATAGCTAGAGCGCAATTCCGCCGTACTGTAAACCATAAGACAACCTTGGTATGAGTTGAAACATCTATAGGTATCAACGTATAAATGTTAAGAGAATGAACAGACAGCATAGATCCCAATGAAAAACACTTAATCTAAGAATATTTGTTAAATAAAACGAAAACTTAACAGTAAAATTCGCTTTTTTAACTTTCAACAGAATTTAAAATAATTTATTTTAAAAAGTCGATGCTATGTGTATATATATATTCAAAATTTTAATCCAATTTTTGGAATTGGTGTCGTAGGAAAAAAAAAACAACAAATAAAGAGTAAAACTGGGTTTTGGTAAATAAATACATTAAGTTAATCTTAAATATTTCAATTTTTAGTGTTCAGAAAATAACAAACAAGAAAGATTACATTTTTTCTCCGACCTAATAAAATAAAGAAAACAATTTTTATTATGTGTGTTCAACAAAAATGGATTCTTGCATAAAATCTAAGCAACATTTTTTTATTTTTGTTCCTCCAGTTTTATCCTTGGATAAATTCTATATCTTTTATTATTCATAAAATTGGTCACAATCATGCGATTAAAGTCAAATATGGACCTTTTTTTTCGATGTCTAGATTCCCAACGATTTGCCAGCTTCACAAGCCCCTCGCTTCCCTATTGGCAAAAAACTCGGAGAGACAATTTTCACAGGCCCACTTTTGTGGCCCACTTCCGACTACGTTGTTCGTTAGCCATGGACGGAACAGGTGGTGATCTCTAGGTGCTACGTCTGGACTATACGGTGAATGCAAAGGTACTTCCCGGATCTTCTGGCCCGTCACCTGGCCTTGACCTGATGGTAGACACTTTGGCCTTCGTTCATCAAAGATGGCCTATTCAGCATGAGATCTGCCTTTCTTGGCAGTACAAGTCTGAATTGAGCCTTTGGCCATAGGGGAGCAGCTCATGGTGGATGATTTACTGCCAATCCCACCGTATTGTTGCCAGTCAGCATCGATTCGCAGCGTCGATAAGGTCGAAGGTGTCTTTCTGCGTCATTTCGTGTGGCACCCATACATTGAGCTTCATTGTGAATCCAAGCTTCTTCAAATCTTCGACCACCTTCTGACCAGATCGAAAACGTTGAAACCATCGTTGTGCGGTAAAAATGAAAACTGAAAAGGTTTCATCAATTGCACAAACTATATTGCCGGCTTGAGATGCATCATTGCCTTTGTCGTAAATTATGCCAGATTCTCTCTTTATTTTGCTCCATGTTTGCGACATCAATAAACAAACAAATATATTTTCGATATATTGGGTATTTTTCGTTGCTCGCTGGCTGGTCACACTGAACATTGACGTAGTACGTACGCTGCACCCGCAGATTGGAATTGGATTGGCACAAAAGAAGGGCAATAACCAGCGACATTGCGATACTAGGACCAATCCCAGTGGCCTGAGGCACTTGCTCTGCTAGCAGTGGAACCCTGAAAATGCGCCTCCAGCGTGGGCACGACCGCCGAGTCCTGTAATCTGTTCTGTGGGCGAACTTCTGGCGGAGAAGAGTGTATCGGAGCGGAGGGAGTCGGAAAGCCAAGTGAAAACAATATCGGGGCGGCGTCGGCAACGCCAACGTATCAAGAAATCAGAAAGTCCAGTGATCCGGTGATCCGGCGACCAGTAGATTCCCAAACTCCAGAGGACACGATGTGCGGCCTGGACGTGAGACGTTTCTTCGAGGAGTGGCGCATCTGGATACGCCCGCTGCTCATCGTCACCTATGTCATCTTCGCCATCATTGTGGTGCCGCTGCTCATCGTGAACTCCGTTAAGGATGGTTTCCAACGCAACGACCAGCTGATCCTGATTGGCGGCCTGTTTGTGCTGTCCGCCGTGCCCGTCTCCATTTGGCACATCATCCAACACGTCATCCATTTCACGAAGCCCATACTGCAAAAGCACATTATCCGCATATTGTGGATGGTGCCCATCTACGCCCTGAACGCGGTAAGTGGGTCACCGTCACCGTTACCGTCGACGGAATCAGAATCGGATTTGGAGACCACAAGAAATCTAATACCCTCCGTTTACTTGCAGTGGATCGGCCTCTTCTTTCCGAAGCACTCCATTTACGTGGATTCGCTGCGCGAGTGCTATGAGGCCTATGTGATCTACAACTTCATGGTATACCTGCTCAACTACTTGAATCTCGGCATGGACCTGGAGGCCACCATGGAGTACAAGCCGCAGGTGCCGCACTTCTTTCCCCTCTGCTGCATGCGGCCGTGGGTGATGGGCCGCGAGTTTATCCACAACTGCAAGCACGGCATTCTCCAGTACACGGTGGTGCGACCCATCACCACCTTCATCTCTGTGTGAGTGTCTCGAAATGACCATTCTGCTTGACACCCAACTCTAATTGGAATTCCGTAGCATCTGCGAGCTGTGCGGCGTCTACGGCGAGGGCGAGTTCGCCGGCAATGTTGCCTTTCCCTACATTGTGGTCGTCAACAACATCTCCCAGTTTGTGGCCATGTACTGCCTGGTGCTATTCTATCGTGCCAACAAGGAGGACCTCAAACCCATGAAGCCCATTCCCAAGTTTCTGTGCATCAAGGCTGTGGTGTTCTTCTCATTTTTGTAAGTGCCGATGGATGGAGCATTTCGAGTGCATAATCCTTAAGCCAAATTTATCTCAATCACAGCCAAGGAGTGCTGCTCAATGTGCTGGTATATTATAACATAATTAAGGACATTTTTGGATCGGATGTGGGCGACACGAACCTGGCATCTCTGCTTCAGGTGAGTCCATTAGTATTTAAATTAAATTTAACGGGAAGGCTTAAAATAAAAGAATAGCTTGATTAAATAAATTGCTATCCCGTTAAATTATCTAAATCTCTGACCGATTTGTGTTTAAAAAGTGCCTTAAGCAATTATAGCTGATGACTAAGAGCGGATCTTGAGAGCTACTTTCTCTTAATCCAATCTTTTAGAAAACATATTGAGTAATATATGCAAAACAAAAATAATTTCAAGAGAAAGTTCATCGAGACTTGTGTGACATTTATATATGATATGATATTTATTTGATACCCTGCAATCCCTGCCAGAACTTCCTCATCTGCATTGAGATGTTCATCGCCGCCGTGGCCCACATCTACAGTTTCCCACATCACCCGTTCCACATAAACTCGCCGCAGTACTGGAACAACCCGAACCACAGCTGGTGTCGCGCCTTCCTCTCCATGATGGACATCTCGGACATGCAGGAGGACGTCACCGAGCACCTGGGCGTGGTGGGCAGCTCGCTGAGTCGCCGCTTCCAGGGACGCAGCACGTACCAGCCGCTGGCACGCAGTCCTCGTCGTTCGAGCAGCGAATCTGAGTATCTGATCAGCAAGCGGCAGGATCAGCAGCTGCCGGGTCACTCGTCGCAATCAGGTAACATGTATGGTGCCACTTCCAGTCGCCTGATCGTGCCCGTGTATGATGGCAAGCTGAACGCGCTGCCCGAAAACCGCCCTACTCACTCCCAATCTCGATTTCCCCTAGCAGGCTTGGCCGACGATGGCAACAGTAGCAATAGCAACAACTACCAACAACAACAACTACACTTGCCAGGCGCGTCGGGCTCTCAGCCATCGACGCGACAACGTGATACCCTGCATCTTCGCGAGCGGGAAAGAGATCCGGGTGCGGGTGCGGGTGCTGGCGGAGGTGGCAGCTTCCTGCGCCTGCCCACCGGTGCCGGAGCAACCTCGGCGGCCGCTCCCATTCCCGAGTCCACCGATGACTATGCCCTGCTGTTGGGTGGCGGCGCAGGCAGGTGACACCGCTACCACCAGTACCACTACCAGCACCATCAGCACCCGCACATTGACGACGCTTTCGAGGACGAAGATGGCGTGGACGTGAGCCAGCAGTTGAATGCCTCATCGCTCAGCGCTTCGCTGTCCGTTTCGTTTGGCATGTCGAGCAGTCTGAAGTTTAGTGCCACTGGCAGCAACCAGTCGGCGTCCGAGTGGTCGAACTCAACGGGCGGGGATGATGAGGCTGACGACGACGATGACGTGGACGTGAACGTGGACGGAGAAGATGGGGAGGATAACGACGAGCAGCCAGTTGTCGTTGTTGCCTCCACGACGCGGCGCCGTCGCGATCGCGAGTACATCACCTAGACGCGCTGACCTTAAAACCTTCTTCAGTTATACATATGTACGCTATTACTATATTTATTGTTTCCCCCATATCTTGATTTGTGTAAGTTAGGCTTAGAATACTCATGAAACGTGCACTTTCTAGCGGCCCCATCAAATGGGGTGTTTTTGAAAACGTGGCCTTAGTTTTCATTGCGAAAGCAACTTATTTTACACCTCCATTATTGTAATCGTTTTCCTGATAGCGCACACAAGCTGATCCACACATCCCTTAGGCCAAAGAATCATCATTACATATGTGCGAAATGAAGTCAGATACTTTGTACGATCGATTTTTATGTGCTGATTTTGTAAACATACCTTTCCGAAACGATATTTTTTTACTCTATACATCCCCGCTAGTAAGGTCTCGAACTTTTGTGTGGCAAAGTAGTTAGTTAGTAATACGCCTGAACCGATTGTGAATTTTGTGACTGCCGCCGGTCAGAAAAGGGCGTGACTTGTGTTTAAATAGAAATTCTTATTGTAAAACTAATATACACTGTAATAATATAATTTTGAAAACTATTTGCAACCGCCTTTTATGTTTTATCTACTGAAATTTTTATTATTTATTTCTAACTGCACCCATCTACCTACTAACATTGCTATTCATTCCAGTCTTCGACTCATGAGCTTTTTTAATTCATATATTTTAATTTTTGTTGATGCGAATCGTAAATATGTGATAACAAAAGTTTAACAGTTGCCTACATTCCAATTATTTTTATTTTGGCACCTCCGCTTTTCATTTGTTTTCATTTTTTATCGTACTCTCCGTCGTAAGATAAAGTAGCAAATGTTATGATTTCTTACTGATATGAATTGGAATGTTGAGAACTTATTTGTCAATTAAAAAAGCAACGTCATTTTATTTGTAACATTTATTGAAATTATTGTTAAAGCACTTCGATTCCTATGTCTTTTCATAATACTTGTTTTTTTTTTTTACATTTGAACGAAGATACAAAACAAAACAGAAAACTTTAAATTAAAATTGACGAAAACGGAGACAATGTCTGACACAGATACGGAGTAGACCGAAGTACATATAAAGGCATTCACGGAATTCACGTTACGAACATAAATCAAATCGAATACTAAACGCTGATAATATAAAGAAAACAAGTAAACCGAATATCAATCAACATCAATTAAAAACAAATTCAGTCCAGTGATTACTTCTCGTGCTGCGTGCGCATAATAGTAAAGAATCCCAGTAAATTTCGACATGGCATGCCACCAAAACGGTAGGCATCCCGATTGCTTTTAGCATACACACATACACACAGCTGCTGCTCCGATCAATTGTTGTAGTTCTGCCTGCCGCCCAGCTCGAGAAGATATCGGTCCGGATGGTCCATCCAGTCGGCGGCCGTAAGCTTCACGGTTCGCTGTCGCTCGGCCTCCTTGATCTGCCACTTCTTGATGTCCAATTGCACTTCGCGTGATGACTTGTCGCCGCAGCCCCAGACCTGGTGAGGAGATCAAAGAAAAAGCGGGAAGCAACGTGTAGTTGTCTTGTTGTTGGTTGACTGTTGTTGGGTAAGGAGAATCGTAGACTTAGTTAAAATGCATCGCTAGAGCACACCTGGCCATTAAAAGCCACTGGTGTGCTGTTTTTAACAGCTTAGACTGGAGATTATGCCGTTTATATACGATATACGTCTATGAATTTTACACTATATACCATATATGCATATACACATATATAAATATACCCTGTTGAATAAGGCTTATTGTACATGAATGCGATTAAAGTACAGAGAAATATTCGAAATGGTTTTTTTTAGACTACTCTGATTGTCACAAAAAAAATGTGGTTTGATTGATTGATAATTAATTTCCATCATCTATTTGAGGGTCTGACCCGGTGTTTGACCCACCTTGTTTGGAATTTATGATAACTAAATGACTTGCTTTTAATTCATTTCGGAGAGTCTGTAAAAATTGAATTTATAAAGTGCAATTTAACTTAAAATCGGACCTTCCTCTAAGTAAATTTATGTTTGTTGTTGCTTAATTTGTTGTTACACAAAAATTCCACTGAAGAATTAATAGTTAAGCAATACCTCTATGGACATTAGTCCAGCTGCCAGGCCCTTGCAGTCCACGTTCTCGAAATGCTCATCGACTGCAATAATGGGTTTCCGCGGATCTGCGCCGGCACGTAGTCCCTTCGGGTAGCCACGTATGCTGGTGTTAAGGTACAGAATGTTGGCCTTCTTCTCCAGTATCACAAACCTTTAAGGAGCACCATTAGTAAGGATTGAAAATCTCGTTCATTTTGGTACCCACTTCGGCAGCAGTTGGATAACACAGCTGCCTTCGCCGCCCACGAAAAGATGGGTCTCCTTCCACTCAGTGGGCGACGCTACGCAATACGTCTGCTCGTCCTTGGTGTGGAGCAGGACGAGGGTGGGTCCCCGGTAGCCGAGGACGTGGTGCAGAAACCGATTCGCGCCCACGCCATGCTCGTTGGAGTCGTATAGCAGCGTCCAGTGCGACGGCATCATCGACAGCTTCTCCTTGAAGATCTGCACGGCGGTCGAGGCGCTGAGGTTGTTGTTGCCCTTGTTGGCCGGTGGAGCCACGGTCTGGGGCTTGGAGTAGAGCGGCGGCAGGGCTCCGGCCAGCAGCCAGGCCTGCGAGAGCGGCATCAGCGAATCCAAGTCCCGACCTCCTCCACCTCCGCCGCTGTGGTCGGTGGCGTCTGTGAAGGGATTACGCTGCTCCAGCACCGGAGTCTGCAGCTCGATGCCGCACGACTGGCTCTGCAGCTCTAGGCCACGGTAAGCGGTGGACAGCGTGTGAACACAGTACTTGTGCACGAGCAGCACCAGTCGAATCAGGTTCTGCTCAAACCAGCGGCACACGTAGCCCAGGCTCAGGCTGTCGTGGCACAGGAAAATGGACTTGGTCACCGAGCCGAATGTGCGGTTGATGGCCGAGCAGAGCACGGCGTTGCCCGAGTGCTGCATGGCAATGGTGTAGCAGATGTGGAGCAGACGCGTCACGCCCGTCTTGTCGATGAAGTCGGGATTGTCCTCCTGGGCGTACATCTTGATGTAACACTCCAGCGTCTTGGCGTCGTCCATGATGCCCAGGAAGCGTTCGCACTGCTGCCGAAAGGCGACAACGCCCAGGTGCTTTGTGGTGGCCTTGGAGTTCGAGTGCATCAGGTTGAACAGCCGCTGGCCCAAGTCCGCGTACTGCGGAAAGACTTGTGACTGGCAAAAAAAAAAAAAAAAATATGTGTTTTATATGAGTGCGTCAGTTGTTATCAGTTAATTACTCACCACAAAAACCTCAGCCACTATGCCATTGATGCCCAGTTTGGCCGACGTCTTTTCCCTGAGGATCTCGGCCAGCTTTTCCACCGGCACCAGCTGGGTGAGATACTTCTCGGTGACATCCGCCCCAGAAGCAGACCTCGTCATCGAGCCCTGCGTCTGCTGCACCTTCAGACTGTTGTGGCTGCCGCCCACGTCAGAGGCTCCGTTGTGGGAGCTGTGCTGCTGCTGCTGTTGCTGCTTGTGGAGCTTACCACCCTCCAGGGGCGGCTCACTGGCATCCGACTCGCCCTTGGAACTCGTGTTGCCCATTTTGTTGACGCTTCGTCTTTGTCTTCGCTGATCCCAATCCCACCACTTCGACGCAATTAGTTCGCTGGCAGTGGAAACGTACAACGAAAGGGCATAAAAAAGGCCAAACGCAGGTTTGCACTGGGGAGCAGTTCACGATCGCAAGGCGCAACAGGTGCAGGAACGTTTTGGCCAAAGAGACAACTGCGCCGCGTCGCAAAACCTGTTATGAAACACACAAACACAGCGCTAACGAATCAGGTAAATATATTTACATAATTAAACGCAAATTAAGCTTTGAAACGAGAAAACGAAAACAAACCTAAGCAAGTGTGACCGTGCTGGAGTTGCCAATTAATGCCAAGTTTAATGTGGTTTCAACGCGAAACCAAAACAACATTAGCAACAAGAAAGAGGGTATCGACTGGGAAATACCCACTACTTTTGGTCCCGCTATAAAAATCCCATTGCCAACATCAAGATAAGATTATTAGAAAATGCAAATTTTTAATAAATTGGAGGTGCACACAAGTAATTTTTTCAGATTTTTCCCATTGCATTATATTATTATATTTATAATTATAAATTAATATAAAATTTTAAATATTTATGAATTATAATGATAATAACTTTCATATAGAGACGTAGCATTCTTATAACGAGAAAAATTTATCGACCGAGTTCTAACGCTAGATACCTTTTGCATACCCAATATACCCAAAGTAATGGGTATAAAAGGTAAATAAAAGCAAAACAAATGGTAGCGCCAGCAAGCACTCTTCAAAATAACCCCAATTCCGACGAAGATGAGGCCGTGCCGACGGCGCCAACTTCCATGCTGGTGCTGGACGCCAAGCGGAAGAGCGCCTTCCTGCCGTACCGCCCGCAGTCCACCGTTCTGACCAATCTGCAGCGCGGCAACACGGAGGCCACCTTCTGTCCCGTTGAGGTGTCACTATCCTTCCACGAACGCGCCGGCCAGGGCGAGATCACCGAGGAGCAGGTGGCCGCGGAACGGACACGCCAGAAGGACATTGATTACAAGGACGGACACGGCTTCACGGCCCTTCACTGGGCAGCCTCGTACGGGCAACTGGTTTCAGTGCAGCTCCTTGTCGCTGCTGGGGCCAATGTGAACACCATGGCGGATATGGACCTTATCAGTCCTCTTCTCCTGGCCGCTGCCGGCGGGCACAACGAGATCGTCCGTTTCCTGCTGGAGCACGGAGCTAATTCGGCTCACATGGACATTGTTGGCAATACGGCACTCATGTACGCAGCGGCCGGAAATCATCCGCACACCTGCAACGAGCTGCTGGCCAGGGACTTGGATCTGAGTGCCACCAACGAGGACGGAGACACCGCCTATTCCCTGGCCGTTGAGCATGGCGCGCATTTGGCACAAGCTCTTCTGGAGCAGTACATGACGGCCATTATTACGGCGGGAGCCTTCGGTAGTATTTAATTTTGGGTAGATTTAAGGGATTGCACTGGTGTCACAGTCATCAAACAAACATGTTTTTATATCTTATATAAAAGGTAATTGTTAAAATAATTAATTAAAGATATTAAAAAAGTGAAAATTTTTTTAAGAACTAAAGTCGAGGGTTTATGCTAATTTAAGATTAAACCAGACTAAGTGACCGGAAGGTTGGAATTTCCGAAGACCCAATAAAGTTAAGTTGTACTATAACCGATTTCAAGAGCCCCTTAAAACCTTTGATTTGAAATCCTAAAGCATTGCCACGTGTACTTGTTAAAACTCAAACATTTTATTCTTGCTCTTGCGCGTCTGCTGTTCCTTGCTTAAGCTGCGTTCCTGGGCCTGAAGCGTGGCCAGCTCCTGTTTATGGCCCTCCAGCTGCACATGTAGTCGCTTCTGAAGCTGTGCATCTCCTGAATTTCTGTCCAGGGACTGCTTCACCTTGGCCATGTCGCGCTGCTTTCGGCGGATTTCGTCAGCCACTCGCACTGATTCCACGTTAAGTGTTTTGGTCGAGTGCTGCTGTAGTTCGTTGGTCTTAGCCTTCTTGGCCACCTGCTCGCCCTGCTGACCGTTTTCCCCAGGGCCGAGAACACTGGCGTTCAAGAAGGTAAAAACATCTGTGCGTTGCGACTCCCGGACGTAGGCCTTTTCATCCGCTTTTCGCTGACGGCGCTGGGCGCGCTTCAGTTTTCGTTCCACGCTGAAATAGTCTTTGTCCCCGTTGGCAGCCTCACGCAGCTCCATGCAAGCATCTAAAGATCGACCCTGGGGAAGAATCTGGGCGCTTACAGGGGTCACAATGCCCCTTCCATCCGACCCCAGACCCGTACCATGGATGTAACCCATTTTCTCCATGAGCTTGGATCCGATGCCCTGTGGGGTTTGGTGGTTAGAGAGACTCAAATCGCTGAATGTAACTGAACTGCACTACTTACCCGCGTGAATTCCTCCCAGGCGCCCAGCTTTTCCGTTGGCTTAAAGGTAAACAAACTCAACTCGACCATGCGGGCTCTTCTGGCTTCTTCCAAGTCATCCATTTCCGAGTCGCCTTCGTCGCTGCTTTCGTCGTTTAAGCTCGAGTTGCTGTCCTCGCTGGAGAGTTCGTCATCCTCATCCGAGTCCGTGGTCAATGGAAACAACTCTTCGAACTTAAAGTCCCGCTCCCGCTCCTTGTGATCCTGGCCATCCAAACGCACCCGGCACACCTGCTCCACGAAATTTACACAAAGTACACGACCACGATGCCACAGGCGGTCCGGCAGCAGGGCAAACACTGGACGACTGCGGGAAAGTTTGTGGAAATTGGGTGGGTTGTATTTCCTAATGGAGCTACCAGACACCAGAGCGCCGTGGGAAAAGCGACATCTCGTTTCGTCAAAGCGGCACTCGCCCTCGAGATAATAGGAACAGGGTAGCATTTCCCGATGCGTGGGATTCGTAAAGAGCACCCTTAATCGTGCATCCAATGCGCCTTCGCTGTTTATGACCACCTCATCGTCCACTCCACAGATGAGGGCATTATGGTAGCAGGTGCCCCAACTGTGCTCGTGGGGGGCGGAGCACTTCTCGCCCACCATGGCCGTGTACTTGGCCCGTAAGCCAGCCAGCTGCCGCTCCTCATCCGCAGCGGATTGGGTGGCGCTAGCCTCCTCCAGCTCGTTGAGTTCGCTTCTGAGCCGCTGCAGCTCGTCGTCCATGTCATCTCCTTGCTGAGGTACTTCATCGGTTTGTGCTTCATCTTCTGTTCCTCGGGTGAGGGCAAGTAGCTCCTGTAAATTTGACTTGAGGGCCAAAAGTTCCTGGCGTTGCGGCTCATCCGTGGCATTTTCTAACGCCTGCTCCACTACGAGCAACTGTTGGATACAAGGATTGTCATAAAGGAAGTTGGGAACACATTGGATCACCTTTGCTCACTTGTGCTTCGTATTCATCCATAGTTAGGGCTCAAAATCATGGCGCGGCTTCTGTCGATTGTTTGAATTCAGATTTTCGAAAAAAGATGCATGCATATGCGTTTAAACATAAAAACCGTGTACAATAAAGGTCAACGTTATAGCACTTCTTTAGTTAGTCAGCTTAAGCATATTATATATTAAAAATATTTTGTATTCTGATTCCTTGAAACATAAATACTATTTAAAAAAAAATAAAGAAGATATTTTAAATTTGCAATTTATCTTAAATGCAAATAAAATGAAGTTCTACGAAATAAACAAACTATTTACCTGACCGCAGCTGTGCGTAGAGAAGAATCATCTGGCAACACCAACAGCTGTTCGCGTAGGACTTTTTCAACACTGTCCTGCAGCAAAAACAACAAAACGCCGGTAAACTCGTGTTGTTTTGATTTGTCGGTTACATATTATTAGATTTAATTGAACTAATATGTTTTCCCTGAATTACACAACGAGAAACTTGGTGCCTCGATTGCACCGCTTCACTAGCAAGATTGCCGTGGACGTGGAGCCAGCGGTGATCTCTGCCCTGGAGCAGGCCACCCTAAAACCGAGAAAACATCCCGGCGTGGTGAGGCCCAATCATGTGGAGCTGCCCAAAAAATTGAGTGATACTCTCAAGCGCATCGTGGGCGACCATCCCATCAAGAAATTAGTCCACGATGGCCAGCAGCTTAACGCCTACATCAAATCTCGCCACCCGCCACCGACGCTGGAGGAGATCGAAAACAAAAAGCGGAACATCATCGAGGAGGTAAATTCCAAGATGTCTCTGGATCGCCTGGCCACGCTCGACGAGGAGGAGGCGGAGCGATGGAAGCGCAAGCGGGAGTTGGAGATCAACAAGCGGCTGGGCCAACGCATCTACGCCTGGAAGCGGATCGAGTACGGCGCCTATGAGTCCCTCGTCTACGCAACAGCTCGTGGTGCCCAGGAGTACGCGGTGATGAAGCGCGTCCTCACGGAGCTGGCCCAGCGGGACGATCAGTTTCGGCCGCGCAGCTTCTTTGATTTCGGATCCGGCATCGGCACTGGGATGTGGGTGGCCAGCGAATTGTGGCGCGACCACATCTATGAGTACTACAACGTGGACAGGTCCAGGGAGATGAACGAGATCTCCGAGCTCATTCTGCGCGATGGGCAGGAGAACAAGCAGATAGCCCTGCGCAATGTATTCTACCGCCAGTTTCTTCCCGCCATTGAAACCAACTACGATTTGGTCATTATTTCTCATACACTTTTTGAGTTGGCCGACAAGGAGCAGCGGGAGGATGTTCTGCGAAATCTGTGGCGAAAATGCGATGGCTACATGGTCATTATGGAGGAGGGAACTCGTCGTGGCAGTGAGCTTGTCAATGAGGCCAGACTGTTTCTGTTGGAACAGGATCAAGAAGGTCACACTGTGGCACCGGTAAGCTGGTTTACATATGCCTTAATCCAACTAATTCGGTTGTGCATACCTTTAGTGTCCACACGATATGATCTGTCCACGTCTAAGAGATCTAGCTGATCGAACGCCCTGCAATTTTCCTGTTTCCTACGCACCCCTGCGCTTGGGTAGCGACTCTTTGGCGGACCGCCACACCTCCCTCTACAGCTATGCCATTCTGAAGAAGGGCCCCCAAGCCGACAGCTCCAGTTCCTGGCCGCGGGTTGTGCGTCCCACGTTGGTTAGGTCAAAGCATGCCATCTGCCGGGTCTGCACTGAAGGGGGCAATCTCCAAGAGGTCATCTTTACAAAGTCCAAGCATGGAAAGTGAGTAGAACAATTATTTCCTCCTTTCAGGCTTCTGATTATCTTCTTTGCAGGTCTGCGTATTCTTGTGCAAAAGTCAGTCGTTGGGGTGACCGCTTGCCCATGTCGCTGGGACAGCCTCAGGTCAATACCAAATCCACGGAATCATCCACCACAGAACAACCTGTCTTGGCGTAGTTAAAACTGTTAAATAAATATACTAGGCATAAAGTCACGCCCTGAAGCTAATTGATACTAAAAACTGGCATCCAATTAGTCGATTTAATTATGTGCAAACAAATCGGTGCGGGTGGAGCTGAAATTAATTAAATAGTTGCATTTAAATTAACTATACAATCCAAACGGCAGGGCCGCATGCTCATTGATACTAAATTTCTTTCCGCGGCCAACACACCCTCACCCAGATTTTAATGTATGGCAAGACAAAAGGCGGATATGACTGCGGATGGGTTGGCCCCGCCGTATTGGATCAGCTTGTTATGTAATGTCACCAGTATACATATTTAGGAATCGTTGCTTGGCCAATGGTCGGCGATGTCCGAACGCCCAGTGTGTTCATGTACATATGTGCGGAGGGATATATAAAACGACTTTGTCGCTATTTCATCAATGTTTCTAGTTTTTAGATAATAATTTGAAACATATGTATTTCTGTTTTGAATGTAATATGTATGTTTAAACATAATTAATTTAAATAACGTTGTTACAGTTTCAATATTTAAATAAAAATGTAAAGATCAAAGAGGTTTCAATCTTTCAATTAGTGATAATAGATTCCTCAGACGAAATGTCTGGACTATATCTCCGTTTCGGAGGCCAATCCCATGTTGGCTGACATTTAGTTCTGCGAGTTTGGAAGTCTTAATGGGAGACGCGCCCTTTTTAACGACCGCAGATCATCCCCGCAACCATTAATCGCCCTTTGAGGTCCTGTGTTGCCAAAAAGGGCATAACGTGGTTGGAAAAGCATGTGGGGCGCGAAAAGTGGCACGTCGATTGGAAGGGAAGTGGGTGCGGAAGGTTTACTTCCATGTACATGGAGTTTTAGGGATTGGCTCTTGGAACAAGGTGTGGCATGGAGCAACGGACCGTGGATACATAACGATGGATTATAAATATTGCAGGCGAAGCACTTGGCATCGCGAGGTACTATCCTTTGGGATTTTCTTGATTAAGGCTTACATTAAGTTAAATTTTGAAGAGCTCATTTTATATCTTATCACCTAGAATAATGTTTTAAATAGTTTAAGAGACTTCAAAACAAACTTAGTTTATATTGTGTTAATACAATAGTATTATTTAAAAACAATTTTAAGTTATTTGTTTTTTAACTGTTGAGATTCGGTTTTTATATACATTTGGTAAGGGTATTAATATTTATTTTAGATGTGAAACTTAAAATAGTGAATTATATATCTTCATGATCCTGTCTGTTGGTTTCCCCTCAAATTTGTATTTCATATATTTGGATATCATGTTATAGTAATTTTTCTTTTGAAGCCAGTTAACTTATAAAACAAAACACTAAATAGTTCTTAACTGTGGGGGGATAAATTTATTGAATCAATGTGTATAACTATTTGGATACATCGATCTTTAAAAGACAATATAAATTAAATTTAAAATTAATCTCATCAATCTTTAAAAGACAATATAAGTTAAATATAAAACTAATCTAGTCAAAAATTCGTCCCTTAAGATCAAGTGTTCTTAATGAAATTTGATTTAATACATATGTAACTCAAGAAGTGATTAGTGGCTGTATTTTTACATCCGTTTAATCTGAGTCAAATTCTTCTTAGCTTATTAAATGAGTTTAGCAAAGTGCCATTATATTATTTTATTTACCATAACTCAACTAAATAAATATATTTATACATTTATTTGAATTATTTAAAACAACATATACATATAAATTATGACTGATCCTGTTTTTCCTATCCACCCACCTGATGCTGACGGTCTAACAATATATTTTTAGCTGCTGCCCGGGAGATGGAATTCTAAAACTGGGTTACATGAGAGGCTTCGGTTACGCTTTTTCACGCCCCACTGCCTGTGGGACTCAAATTTAATTAGGAAATGCATTTGGCGAGTCATTAACCCATTTAGAGGTGCGTATACAGAGTAAATGGCAGGATATGTGACAGGATCCCAGGGCTGTTCTACATGCCGGGCAAAGTCCAAGCCCAGTTTCTGGGCGAGCACACGTCATGGCGACCCTGTGGCACTGGCACTGCCACTGGCATCTCCATCTCCACTTCCACTTCCACTTCCATTTGGCCTCTATGTAATCACTCCGGGTGATACTAGGTGGGGTCGCTATAAAGGCGCGTTCGCCGATGGTGTCAGCTGTCGCTCCGCTTCCACTTGGCCTGGGCTATTTGTATTAGTTAGGTGCGTCCCACAACAACAACTGTGACTAAATAATGGTGGCGTTTAGAAAGCATGCGCCGCTGTTGCAAGTGGAACTAGTACGCTAGTGCTGGTGACCCACACCCACCCATCCACCCATCCATTCAGTCGCTCCAGCCAACTAGCCAGCTAGACAGCTAGCCAACCCCAACCGAGGCACACTCAGCCAACCAGGCAGCCGGCATTGTCAGCGCTTCCTTTTGTTCCGAGCCTCCAGCTCTAATGCGCTGTACATAGTTAGATGGGTAGATGGGTAGATGGGTCGCCCGGGTCCGGGTTGATCAGAAGTGGCTACCTACGAACTGGCGCCGACTTCTGGCCATCAGTTCGACTTCGAGCGCGGCCAGGAAAAGTTGCGGTCGCGGTTAAAGTGGCACGGCACTCATATATCCAGTGATAGTGATTCATCTAAATGTGTGATTCATCTGGGCTAGCTCCTTTGGCGGCATATTTCATTCGCGCCTGTATCTTGCTGAACCGTTTACCATATTGGCCTTCGATCCGGTTGAGCAAAATTTCAGGTGTGTGAGAAATTTGTTAAGCATTCATCCAAAAAAGTGTTCCCGAAAAAATATGGTTTAAGGAGATCTTTTTCTGGTGAGTATGACCAAAATTTGTTATGAAATTTGAAGACTGGAAGACGTTCATTGTTTACCTCAGAAATTCGAAAGCATTTTAATATTTAAACTTTTGAGAATGGATTGGTTTTTAAATTTGCAGTTATATTTTAAGTCTTTATTTAACATTGATTTTTCTAAGTTACATTAGATTTCAACTGACTGTATAAAAATTTAATTGAGAACACACAACAGTCCATCGCCAAATTTACTTAAATATTTGAAAGTGGGAAATATTCTTAAATTATATATTGATAAAACGTTACTATCAAATGAAATCCACTTAAAATGTGAACAGCATTAATAAAACTGAGCTTAAAGCATATAATTTTTAGTCATAACAAACAATCAACAAAACTGTGAAAACAAAACTCTTTCAATGAGCCTGAGATTTTCTCAAAGATCATGTTTAATCGCTATAAAGCACCTATATTACCCACGGGTTATCATTTTGGTGGGTTTTCGGGCGCTACAAAGATTTATTGCACCCGATCTGGACAGTTCGCCCACGACAAAAGCTTTAAAGAAGCCCCGAAAATTTGGACTTTGGTTATTTTATACAAGTCAAAACATCGAAAACGACATGGACAGCGCATGATAAGTGAAATCAAAGAAAAACCTTTCCGGATTAGTGGTATGTGGGTACAATGATAGCAGTAAGTATTTGAACTGGGACCACCTCGATTAGCTAAAACAAGGAATTAAGCGAATGCCTTGATTTCGTCCCAGAAGTGATGAGATCCCATGCGCCATTTTTACGATTTCCTATAGCTCTTATATGGCGCGAACGATCATAAATTGTAATCTTATCGTTAGCTTGGTGTTCGCCGGCGTGCAGATTGTGGATGTAGTCAATATTTAAACTTATCAAACACTTATGTAAATTGTTATTTATAGTAGTGGGACGAACTTCTTCAGTCATCAAGTTTTTGCCTTTTCATTAATCCCCTGAACCAGCTTAGAGCAAAGTTCAAGCCCAACCAGCGATCATTTGTTGGAACTTGATAAAGCCGTGACGTTTTCAAGTTTTTATACTTTGCTCTGTTCTCCATTATTAGCTTGGAAGCATTCAGCACTTAGTATATCAATCGGCTTTTGTTTAGCTCGAGTGGAGAACGGCCAAAGTCCGCCAGAGGATTGAATCATAGTGTCGGTGCGGGGTTCGTTTGATGGAGCAATTAATACGATAATAACTAAATAAGCACTTATCAACGAAGTTCCAAACTGAGGAAACGACAAGTGGGACAAAGCTAAGAAGAGTGTGAAACACGAATTAGAAAGTTCTAACAAAGCTATTATTAAAAATTCATGGTGATCCGGGTTGAACTAGGTCGAGGGTACTAAAATATAGTAAGTTGATACATAAATAACTATTCGAAATTACCTAAAGATTAGCATAAGCTAAGTATCTAAGAAATGTTTTGTTAAGCTTATTGCTTTGCAGATTTATTTTATTTTACTCTTAATGGACCAAAAATATATAAATCTAGAAAATAGTGCTACAAGTCTGCGAGCAATATTTAGTTTGATCATCACATGGAATACGAAACAGAAAGTAAAAAAAACCCTGCTATCATTGAAATTCAAGGTGATCCGGGTTTAACTAGCTCTAGAGTACTTAAGATAGTAAACTGATATAAATAAATATTAGTAATTACCTAAAGATAAGCGAAATACCTAACTATATTATTGATTTTCTATTTTTTTAATCTGCAAGAAATATTTAGTTTGACAATTAGCTATTCTACTTTGCTGATTCTACAAAATTGAAATAGAATATGTAATGCTTTGTTTATATAAAAAGGTACATATATATCAAAGCAGGTAAATCTATTATTGTTAAGCATACAAATGTTTTTTTTTTGCATTAAATGATTAAACTAATAAGAGCAAATTCGTAAGGCATTATTGTAGCCTAAAAAACATTTCTACTTTTAAGATTTTGTTTATGTTTTTCAGGGGTTTCATGGATATTAAAAGAACCCTAAAAAAACCGATCTTCCTATAAAACCAATAACCTTCCTCTGCCAATGTGAATTAACCACCAGGGTCCGATGAACAGTGAACAAGGAAGCTAATCGGTGAAGTAACTCTGATTCACGAGCAATCACAAAGAGCCTTAGTAAGTAAAGTCGCTGGTTGGTGGGCACATTGTGAATATATAGGCATTGTAAACTGGCCCGATAATGTTGTTCGGGGCTAGAGCTCGCTATTGTTTCGCCGTACGTTGCCGTTGGCACAAAACAGAACAAAACCGAAATTAAGAAAGCGACGGCGGCGCGGGAATGTTTATTACGTATTACGTATACGACTATTATGGTGTGTCGAAGAAATTCGATATGTGGACTTGTGACCCAAGCACGATCCCCAACCCATCCTCCTCCCCCCTCCGTTGTCAACCGGGGCAATGGCAATCGGGCCTAGATCGTACTGCCAAAACTCAATCAGCTGCCACAGGTGAGTATCTGTATCTGTGTCTGTATCTATGTATCTGTATCTGTATCTGTGTGCTGCAGGTGCGGCTGTGTGCGCGAACGGTTCTTATCAGCGAAGGAAAACGACAATATAACAACGTCGAAACACTAATAACCAATGCGAAATATACGCCAGCAGCGAGAGCCGAGCGATCTTTGAGAAAGTGTTGGGCGTTTAGCGATTTCCGAGAGCAAAATAAAGTGGAAAAAACGGAAACATTGCTTTAATTTAATTTAACAAATTTTATTTTTAAAACCACAATCCGCAAATCTTGTCGGCCCAGAAATATAAAAATACGAAAATATTTCATTATGGATAACAGTATACTAAGCCAAATAAGTTAAAATATGTTCAAAAGTTACTGAATGCTTCTCTTAAAAAGTTGAATTGTTTAAGGAGTAGTCAACATAGGTATATTTTATAAAAAAATCATTATTAGACTTCAAAAACTACAATATTTATGTTCTTTAAGTTTAAAAAAAAAGCTTTAGCCACAAACTGTAAACGACAAATATTGTTAATTTTAGAACCTAGCTTAAAGCTGTTAGATCAATTCGAATATATGTTTGTAAAATACAAACATAAATTTTAAACGTTAGTTAATTTATACATATAAGACTAGATCCATACATTCAAATTTTAGAAGAATAGCCATAGTATATAGGAAATTGTTTAAGCAAACAGGTTTGTAATTAATTAATATGTTTACAATATTATTCAAAAATTTTTAAGTTAATATCCATGAATTCATGTCTTTTTAAGTGGTTTCCCGCTAAAGGTTAAAAACCTGGCCATCTCTGAGCGCCTTCGATAAAGCCTGCGCTTAACACACACCCACACACGCACACCCACACCCACTTGGGCGCCGAGATACACACACCAGCTGAAACGGCCGATCGTGTTCTTTGTGGCCAGTGAGTCGTCAGCTGGGCCGACGCAGCGATTCTCCGACTTCTGGGGGAACGGGAACGCGATCGGGAACTGCTACTACCATATAGCCATATAGCGGCTAGCTGGGATCACTGTTTGTTTACTGACCGCCAGTCGCGCACGTCGCTTCGAAGACGCTGTTACTCGGTTGTGCGGATCGCGAGTTAAATCACCGGAAAGCAGTTCTCCTTGCAATCCCTGACACAGTGTGATAGTCCTGACTCTTAAAAGGGTAAGGACTTCGTTTGCAACGCGTCTTAAAGAAAGATCAAATGCCATCTGAAAGAGGATAATAAATATTTAATAAAATATTTTTAAGTGCACGGCTTAAAATTAATAAACTTTCAAACAAAACCCAAACGGACAATGCTATCGAACTTTAGGAGTTGTGAATAATTCTTATATACTGGATCAAACAATCCTGAGTGACAAAATATATTTCCAACAAAATGTGAAATGTTCAAAAACACATAACAATAAGTTTTATAAAACATGAAGTTTAAATAAATTGGATTTTTCATGAAATCTTATATCGAGTGACATTAATAAAAAATCAAAATAAATCTAAATTAGGGATTATGTTTGATAAATAAATGTTAATTGTGGGGGTTACATTTGAGTTGTGCTTTCAGTCTTAAAACTAAAAAATGTGCAAAAGCAAATATATTGAAGCTACTTTACTTAATGTAGATTTATTGATTATTAGGGCATACGCAACCAAATGAAAAGTCGTTTTTAATAAAGAAATTTATTGGCCAACACTTATCAGTGAGTTTAGATGTATCAGTCTTTGTTAACAAATGAGCCGCATAAAGGCAAGTGCTAAATGACTTAATGATTCATGCTTTGGTATCTACTGAGGAATAGATACAAGTGATTTGATTCTTTTGGCCTCTTTAGACCTGCCAAAATGGGTCACTTCCTGGTAAAACTGCTTAATCCGCTGTCTGAGTTTTGCATTTGCAGTATGTGAAATATGTTAAATCGATTAGCTGACAGAAATCAATACGAAAATAAAACCAGGGCCCAAAGATGAGAGGCGGGTGCTGTTTCTGAATTATCACATTATCGGAGTATAAACAGAAATCTGTTCCCAGTGATCGGGAGTGATCGGGATGGCGTTGCTCCCCTTTTCCCCCCCCTCCGAACTCCGATCGAACAGCTGCTGTTTTCGCTTTCATCTCTCAACTGCACCGCAGAAATTCAGACGGAGAAGGGGATCCGTGAACCGGTTTTTTCGGTCACCGATGCGAGGTACACCACTGTACAAGGTAGACAAAACAATGTTTCAGGGCAGCATCAGCACATATATGTGTGTACATAAGTTCGATCGCCGGCATTGAGGGCGATCTAAGTCCCCAAAATCGCAGGCAAACACGAAATGTGAGGCTCATAGGTCGAACAAAGGAAGTCCAGCAAAACGTGACCACAGAGCTCTGGTATCAATCAATATTGAAATACAGCCAACTGATTAAGGCCCATCAACGTCACTCTAGACCGCTAGGGCTGCTCCCTTCTTAGCCCCCGAATCCAGGGCATTGACTTAGGTAATTGTATTTGGCAGCTCTGATAACTGACTCAAGTGCAGGGTTCAAGTGCAGTGCTCATTAGCGAAGCGCACACCTTTACCAACGGCAGAAAAAAAAGGGGAAATGTCCCAGTGCCCAGGCGAGAAATTTGCCCAGATTGAGATAAGACCTAGAGTCTATATACCAGATGTATATAGCAATTCGTCAGAGCTACGACAACAATTTCATATGCTCTAAATTTCCCTCACGGAAAAACAACGTTGTTTTGATTGCATCTGATCGTCTGATCGTCTGAAATCGAGGTATTAGTACCATAACTACATTTGGTAATTTCTAATTATCTGCCTTAAGAACTTAAATTGATTTGTCTTAATATAACACATTACTTTATACTTCATATTTGTTTTAATTAATAATCAATTATTTACAGAAATATTTAAATTCTCAATGAATTAAATGAATTAAAATTCAATATCGCTTTTATAATCTATAACCAGACCTATATGTACATACGTATATAGTTATAGCTGCATTTCCTCAGGGAAAAGTTCTGTTGTTTTGCATGTTTTGCATCTTACACATGATTATTCCCCAGGAACTTAATTAGAAATTGTAATCGAAATAAAACATCTGCATATTTAGAGAAATATATATTTTTGTTCCATTAAATTAAAATTCAATATCGCTTTGACAATCTATAATCAAAACATCTAAATAGTTTTAGCTTCGTTACCTCAAGAAAAAAATGTGTTGTTTTGATTGCATCTTATCGTCTGAAATCAGGGGAACTAGTATTGAATTGCTTAGATAATATCTGCAGACTTAAATTATTAAATAATATAAATGTAGATGAACAATGTGTAAAGTTAAATTAAATCTGGCTTTGATTATCTATGACCAATCTATCTATATAGTTATATTTAGCTTTTGTTTTGATTACATTAGAGAACAAGTTTCTTAATACATATGATAGGTTCCCTTTCTAAATTCCAAACAAATTGCCTTGATATATCATATTGGTTTTTACAGTCTTTAGTTAATAAATTACACAAATACAGATTCTTTCTACTAATTTTAATTTACAACTCGCTTTTATAATCTATAGCCAACCCATCTATGTATATAGCAACAGCTTCGTCATTAGCAGATTCCATTTGTTGTTAATTCTCCGCATGGGACAATGCTTTTGTTTTGATCAGTTCGGATGGGATGGGATGGGATCGGATCGGATCGGCGGATCAATAGCAGATGTGCATACGACAACACTCGCGATTCCACTCAATTGTGGCGTTTTATTGTTTGCCCGCCTCCGCCTCATCGGGTGTACCTTGATCTTTTCGCAAATCTGTGCAGTAAATGTACTCGCGTTTAATTGTCTCTTGCGGCAGCGCGAAATGTGGAGTAAACTGCGTGCTACATTTTCGCTTATGTAAACTCGCATTTAACTGGGACTGTTGCAGATAATTGAAATGTTTCATCAGCCACCCAATTTGACAGCACTTCGGTTTATGGGCATTAGCTGCGTATTTCCTGCCACCTTAAGGGCGCTAGAAATATACAATCTCAGCCTGCGATCGGGAATAGCCAATCTGACTGATGAGGCTAGATGACAAAGGTTGATCGATCTGTCAGCTTTCGATCAAAGTGCGAATTGAGCTGCAATGAAACCCGTTTTTTATGGGTGAAGCAAAAGCATTTATGATTGGTCAGCAACAGGTTGCACACAATATTCCCAGATTTACTCACGCACCTTGCCTAATCAACCAAAACAATCAATATTTGGACATATATAAAAAAAACGTAATCTTTAACTCCCGTTAAGCTGAAATAAGAGAAGATAAACAGGGTATCCTGCGGGGTTACAAAACTATAAGTATTGCAAGATAATAACATCTAGGTAAAAATAATTTAATTGAATTGAATTATTATAAAGTAGGTCTATAAAAATTTAATTGACTTAAGTAAAACTAAGGCCGTCAGTTATCGGATATATATATAGGTTTTGTCTAAGAAATTTTGTATTTTTTAATTACACTGGCCTACAAATTTAAATGGTTTAAAAGGTTTCATCCTCCAGAGATCAAAAATTGAAATGGAATTTCTTATTTGTGAATGTTCCATCCTCGAGATAAAGTGATAAAATTATTTTCGGCTTTAAGTGAATTTTTATTTTTATTGGTTTCTTAAATTATTATTTAAGACTTAATTTTTTGTATTTTAAAGATTTATTTTATGTTGTCGGAACTTCAGTTTTACCAATTTATTTAAACTTGGTCGAGCTCTGGCACCTATATTAAGAAACCTAATCTTATCAATAATCAGTTTCAAATTTATCAATTTTAATTTGTAAACCAATGTTACTAAACAATTTCTTGTATCTCCTTTTAGTTGAAAGGATATCCCTAGAATCCTAGAATGGCGACACCGCGGGAACAGTTCTTGTTCGGCAGCGACAACGGAGTTGCTGGACTCGGTCTGGGCATCGAGATCGGTGAGGTGACCTCCGGTCGCGTCTACAACTCCACCACAGTGCCTATGAACAGCAGAAATGGCCAGACCAGTGCGCCGCCCAGTGCCACGCCCCCGCCCGTTCCCACTCAGCCGCAGGTGGCCTACAGCAACGGGTCCAAGCAGTCCGCACTGGAACCCGTGGAGGAGGAGGAGGTGCACTTCGACACCGATGCCCTCAACAACCTGCCAGCCCGCGAGCCCGTGGACATGGAGTTCAGGGAGCTGTCCCTCACCGTGAAATTGGGCTTTAACCGAGGTGAGCCACTCAAAGAAGGCGTCATTTACGATCCACTGCCACGATCGCATGATCTAAGATATGGTTCGATAAGATTGCAAGCGGAAAACTTAAATTTAGCTAGGAGTTATGACCCAAAATGGGTGCTAATGGGTTTTATGATCAGCGGCTACTCTTTGTGCAGCTATCGCCGGGATCGACATTATATAATTTATATCCAACAATTACCGCCAACCTTACAGATAGTGTTTTGAAATAATTGTTTTAAAAACCAGTTTTATCAATGAGTTTTAAACCAGTTCTAAGAGCTTTTCAATTGACTTATATAGATGAGAGTGCCTTGCGAATTATGGCTAATTTAAAAATATGTATGTTTGGGAAGCCGAACAAATGTTCTTCAAGGTCATAATTTTCGGCAATGCTTCACATACCAATCAGCCATAAACACTTGCTTGCTAGTTCTTTTACCAACTTCGTTTCCCATTGATTAGATAAGCGGCGATCGGAGCGATCACACCTCCTTCCCGATTTTATAAGTATATTCCGGCAGTTAGTCATTCATAGATTCCCTTTCCGTAGAGTCAACACAATGAAGAGCAGTTTTCACTTCTCTATACGAATAGAGTGTTTGAACTAGAGTATTTGTAGTCCGATGTACTTGTTTGGACAAGGTTTGCTTGCTAATTTCAAAGTTCAGAAGGAAGCAAACAGCAATTGATATCGAAATGTGCTTGCCCCTGGTAACTTGATTAGAACCCATACTAATTTACGCCCCGTGGCGGTAGTTAAACTAAAATAAAGATAATATGTGTGGTCAATACTTCAGTAGATGGAAATCATTCCATTGTTATCGAAATGTAAATGGGGGGCAAAGGTCTTTGAAATTAAATGTACGTTTATCAAAAATTATTCCAATTTGTATTATATATAAATTCTACACTCAAACTAAGTAATTTGCCTTTGATATAGATTTGCACAAATTGACTAAAATGGATTTAAGTGTTATGAAGTAGATAAAAGTATAACATTTGCTGATCATAGAACTCCTGTCAATCTCAACTAATCAACATTTTTAATTCTTTATTTTTTTAAGTTTTGATTTAGTAATAATTAAAAGTTTCATAATAACATGACTATTCTGAAATTTTAAACTTTTAGACCATTTTGTTCTTCAATATTCTTTGTTTGGCATCGATAAATGTTTTGTATTTTAAAGGTGATTCACTTGAGGAGAATTAAAATCTGTTAAAACAGCCTTACTTTTTAACGAGTCGTAAGCTTACTAGCCGTTAAGTTGAGTTAAGTTATAGCCTGCTATTAATTAAGGGAAATCAGGGTTCACTGCACGTGTACGCACACGAATTGGATACTTCTCCATTGGTACCCTGAACCTTAATACCAACGACCGTATAAAATCCAGTGAAATATCTGTGAAGTGTTAATGGTCGTTTATTAAAGCACCTACGTAATTTCGCAATTTTTCAGGTGAAAAGGAAATCTTGCACAATGTATGCGGAAAGTTTCCTGGCAGTCAGCTAATCGCCATAATGGGACCTTCGGGTGCCGGAAAATCCACTCTGCTAGATGCCCTATCGGGTTTCAAAACGACGGGCGTGGATGGCTCCATCTTGCTCAATGGTCGACGACGTGATTTGCGTGAGTATATCGAAACTTTTATAAAATATGTACATATATGTACTAACTGGTTTTGTTGTTAAGCCTCCTTCCGTCGGATGTCCTGCTATATCACGCAGGATGATCGTCTGCAGCCCCTGCTGACTGTGAACGAGAACATGCATATAGCCGCCGATCTTAAGCTGGGTCAGACAGTCAGCTACGAGGAGAAGGAGAGCAGGGTAAGTCCAAGAGATGCCACCAAATGTTAGTCAGTATAATAGTCTCTATTTTTTGTAGATTGAGGACATCCTGCTGCTCCTTGGGCTGTACGATCACGATCAGACCTTGACAATGCGCCTGTCCGGTGGTCAGAAAAAGAGGCTTTCCATTGCCATGGAGTTGATTAACAATCCCACTGTGATGTTCCTGGACGAGCCCACAACGTAGGAAAAAATAGATTTTAAGCCATCCTAGCCAAGATATATATATTTTTCTTTTTCTCCGCCAGTGGCTTGGACAGTAGCTCCTGCACAAAGGTCCTGGAACTGCTCAAGAAATTGACTAGCCAAGGACGCACCATTATCTGCACCATCCATCAGCCCACGGCCAAGTTGTTCCAGATCTTCGATCAGGTCTATGTCTTGTCGGCTGGCAACTGCGTCTACCAGGGCAGCACCCAGAAACTAGTTCCATTCCTGCAGACGGTGGATCTGCCATGTCCCATGTACCACAATCCAGCGGATTACAGTGAGTCCAGATAGAATAGATTCCCTTGGTTAAGGGGTAATAATAAAGTTGTGTACTCTGCGCAGTTATCGAACTGGCCTGCGGTGAATATGGCTACGACAAGGTGGACACCCTTAAGGGCGCTGCGGAGAATGGAAGCTGCCTGACCTGGTTCGGCAATCCCGGTGCGGTGTTGCGCTCCGAGGCTCTGATGAGGAAGTATCCGATTCCAAAGAAAACCAAAAGCCGCTCCCTGGAGGACACCAGTTACTCGAATCAGTGCTCGGTGCTGTTGCGAAGGGGTTTCATCAAAGCGAAACGTGACACCACCATGACGCACTTGAGGATTGGGGTCAATATCGCAGTGGCCGTTCTGTTCGGAGCCATGTACGATCACACGGGACGCGAGGGATCTCGAGTTCTGGACAACTACAATTTACTATTTGCCATACTCATGCACCATTCCATGACCACGATGATGTTGACTGTTCTGACTTGTGAGTTAATTGTTTCGTTAATTGGATAGCAGGAGTAACTTAATCGATTTACCTCTAAACAGTCCCCATGGACATCTCCATACTGATCAAGGAGCACTTTAACCGCTGGTACTCGCTCAAAGCCTACTACACTGCCATTTCACTTGTAGACCTGCCCATATCGGTGAGTAACCCTTCTGAATTGCCGCAATTTCCAATGCCAACTTGAGTTATCCCGCGTACAGATTATAAGTTGCTTCCTCTTCACGGCCATCGTTTACTTATGGAGCTATCAGCCTATGGAGTGGATCCGCTTCTGGATGTTCTTCGCCATTAGTTTACTGACCGTCTTTGTGGGCCATAGTTTTGGATTGATGATTGGTGCCTGGTTTGATGTGGTCAACGGCACTTTCCTGGCTCCAGTGCTCACCATTCCCATGATGATGTTCGCCGGCTTTGGAGTGACGCTGCGGGATCTGCCCGGCTACTTAAGATGGGGCAGTCACATATCATACTTAAGATATGGGCTAGAGGGCTTCATAGCAGCCATCTACGGCCTGGATCGCGGTGTCCTGCAATGCGAGGAAGCGCCCTACTGCCATTACAGGTAGTTACTTTTTGGCACTTTTGGTGTTCTTAATTTTTAAACGACGTTGTGCCCACAGGTATCCAAAGAAATTCCTAGACGAGATTACCATGCGAGGAGATCAGTTCTGGAACGACGTCTATGCGTTGGTTGCCATGATCTTTATCTTCCGACTGGTGTCCTATGTCGTGCTTAAGGCCAAGTTAAAGTCGATCCGATAGGAGCGTTGGGAGAAACACACCTGTAGCCCATTCCTTGTATTATACATTAATTGTTGAACATTATGTTTAGTGCTATTAATATTTAAAGAATATGTACAAGTACATAAAACACTGTTAAATAAAAATAAAGCTACGATTTGTAACTAGCCTATATCACACGATTCAGTTGGCCAAGCCTTGGGCAACCTCGGATTCTTCTCGTCTATCTGCTTGTGGTTTTAAGAGCTGATGCAGTTCTTTGGCACTGGTGACCATATCCGCGGAGTTCAACTAAAAGATTTTGCATTAAACTCAACTCAACTTTATATTTTAGAATTGTCGTAAAGCGCTTACCACAACTACTTTTCGGCCAAGGGATTCCAGCAGCCTCTTCTTGAGACGCATTAACGATGTGGGATTCTTGCTGAACTTTAGGGTCTGTTCCGTAGTGAGCAGTTCTACGAAATACACACTTTCCTGGTCCCCCATTGTCTGAACTCGCAGACAAGGCAGATTTATTGCAGCAATGGGGCAGACCAAGTCCACGCCCTCTACTTCAGCATCTCCACTTAGCTCCTGCGCATACTTCGTCAAGTCTGGGCGATCCCTCAGCAAATAGGCTGGTGCGGGATTGAACTCCTTAAAAGCTTGTTCCGTCTTGAGTTTTGCCATCGTTGGCTGCTCGATGGCTACAGCGGACCGCAGGACATTTAATCGACTATCAACCTTAGGCTGGGCTCTCTGTTTTCTTTGGGCGGCCTTCAGTTCTTCGGCTGCATCAATCAGGTCCTTAGAGTAGTGGCCCAAGGTGCACAATGATAGGCAGGTGTCTACAAGGTTGTCCGGGAAGTAATCATATTCCCCATGATCCAATTTTCGAAGGGCAGCTAGCTCGAGTTGTCTGATTTGCTGCGGATTTAATTCACAATTGAGTTGGGCACTGGCCCACAGGAATGTGGCCAAGTCTTTGGCGCGCAGGTCTCCGGGCTTCAGCAGAGTCATCAGTCGCTCTATAACGATGGCCAAGCACTCCTTCTGGTCCCAGAGTTGCTCGGCAAAGAATGCGAAGATGTGGCCCAAGCCCCGGGGCTCAATAAGCGCTATCCTCGCAGGATCCAGGCATATATCCTGCAAATGCTGGCACACTCGCTCGTCCTTCACACGCTGCAACCGCAAAGCCTTGACATAGGAGATCAGCAAGGCGTCATTTCCGGCATTGAGCTGTACACTCAATGTGGCATTAACGAGGGAGGATTCATAGGCACTCCGGGCGTGGCCCGTAACCAAAGTGGAGGTCTTGTAGGCCGCATTGCTGATCACAGCGAGGTCCAGTTCACTTAAGGCGGGCAAATGAGCGGGTAGCTGCTCTTCAAGCAGCTGCTGAAAGTCCTCAGATGATTTGGCCTGCTTCTTCTGCAGACCCAGATAGAAGCACACCTGGACGAATCGCTCCTTGTTGGCGCGGAAATCCTCCTTTACCAATCGCATCATGGCTGAGTGATAGAAGTCCGTTCGCTTCAACCAGCTGGGCATGAGGAACAGGAAGGAGTAGAGCGTCTCCAGCACCGTACTGGTCTCCATTTTGTCCAGCTGATTGGCTGCATGGTTATCCAAGGCGTTTAGGGCGGCCACAAACATGGGCACCGTCGCATTGGAGCGATAGCTGGAGGCCTGGATGATCAGGGCGGGCAGTTGGGCCGCCTCCGTCTTCTGCACGGTCCTCTGGAAGTACCGGTCGTCCGTGATGGGGAAAAAGTCGGCGTACCGGACCGTCGTCTTGGGCAGCACGTGCTCCGGATCCCTGTACCGCTCCAGCGCAATGTGCTTGGCAAAGCGGGTGAGCAGGGTGCCGGTCTCTTCGGCGGTACTCCGCATCACATCTTTGGGCGTGAAGGATGCATAGCTCCTCAAGGGACCGCCGTTGGTGGAGACCCCGGCAAACCGACGGAGCAGGGCGTACATCTTCGATGCACTTTTTTTTTGTATTTATGTAATGAATTTACAAAACAACGTGCACATCCAGATCGCAAAGTTAGAACTGCTTCTGTTTTCCAACACTGCCTAAATTCCCTTGTAAGCTGCAGTGTTAATAGGTTTTCAAAGTAGCTAAAACAAGTAATCTGGCTAATTTTAAAATATTTTTTCATAAAAAAGCCTTGCCAGCATGTATTATTTACTATGTAATCAAATTAGAAAGTCTGTCTATAGTTGTTCATAATTTACAAATAAAATGTATATTAAGAAATTAAATATACTGTTAAATTCACAAGAAAAAGCTAGATTAACAGCACTGTTATCGCACTGTAAGCAGCACTGGGCAAACACCTGTTCCGGTAATATAATAGCCACAAAATGAAGAAAGCGGCCGGATTCGTTATTTTTCGGCGTATTTGCGGGGAAATACAATACCTGTTGCTGAAGGCTTCCTACGGCTCATTCCACTGGAGTTCCCCCAAGGGCCACGTGGATCCAGGCGAAGATGACTTTACCACAGCTCTGCGGGAAACTAAAGAGGAAGCCGGGCAAGTGCTTTACCAATTCCATTCCGTGATTGTTTAAACTTATTAAAGCACATCTACAGTTACGACGAGAAGGATCTAATCATATACAAGGATACTCCGCTAACGCTGAATTATGAGGTGCAGGGAAAGCCGAAGATTGTGGTCTATTGGCTGGCGGAGCTGCGGAATCCTTGCCAGGAACCTGTTCTCTCCGAGGAGCATACCGCCCTCAAGTGGCTGCCCAAGGAGGAGGCCAAGGCGTGCGTGGGCTTCAAGGACAACCAAGTGATGATCGACAAGTTCCACGAAATGATTCAAAACAAGCCGGAGTAAATTGACAACAACATCAAAATCAAAACATTATTCGTTGTAACCTTGCGCAACACTGAAATTAAGATAAATAAATACAGTAGCAGAAAAAATACCAAAAGCAAATACCAGAATTATGTCAGGCCAGCCCTGTCAGCGCTGTGCAACACTGTTTTCAAGGCATCTGAGAAAATTGCTCACAATTCGTACTCGCTTCCATTGATTTGTTGTGGCAGCCAATTGAGCACTCTTCAAAGCCCAAAATTGTACAATCCACACACCGCAGCACCATGGGCTCCCGGTCACGCACTCCCAGTCCGTCGGGCAAGCGCCGCCACCACAAGAGCAAGCACAAAAAACGCAGTAAGTCCCACCACGACCACGAGCGGCCCAGTACGCGGGCGGATAGAGACAAATCATCGGAGGTGAACAGCCACGGACGGCACCGCGAGCGGGACCGGGATCGCGACCGGGACAGACATCGCGGCGACCGCCACACGGAGCGCGACTACCGCCACTCGCCCTCGATCCTCAAGTCCCGGAAGCGCTCCTCGTCGTCGAGCAGCGACAGTCAGTACTCCGACAAGGAGTCGCAGCGCAGCAAACAGAAACGCAGCCGCTTCAAGAAGCTGGAAGAGGTGAGTTGGCCTCATCATGGACCATCCGGAGCCCTGCATGTATATGTCCAAAAGTGGATATTCAAACTAGAATTTGATTTAACCAGCTAAGACTACGGCTTTTCCGTTTACTTAAGATGCCTTCAAATTTTAATACAGTCTTTTTGAGGCCATTTTCCATAATTCGAAATATTTTTGTCTAGAAAGATGGTTTTCTTCTTAAAGTCATGTCAAGAAAAAAAATATATGTAAGGTAATTACTAAGGAATATGCTTATTCCCTTTAACCTATTGACTAACTAATTGCATCCATACTTGGTAAATGCTCTTGAAAATCGGGCCTTTATGAAGTTAATGATAAAAGTCGAGACTTAATATTCCATAAAATGAAACAGAAAACCCTGGTGCAGCCCAAAAATAAATTAAGAAAATAAAAAAATTTTGTTGGAATACTTATAATAAGTAAATTGCAAGCACCATTGCCAATTTATTGGCTTGTTTATCAATTTAAAAAACATGGTAATTTTTTCAAAACGCAATGTGTTTATGTGAATTTAATGGCAAATTACCAAATTCTGGATTCCCAAAGAATTCGCGTTCCAACTTTTTCAATTAATTATTTTGATGTTTTCAACTCTGTTATGTTTTTAACAAGTGAATAATAACAGATCAGAATATACATGCAGAGCTCTTGGTCCTAACTCTCCTAAGAAATCAAATAAATGGTATCCATATCCTTTTAGCAAAACCAACTGCAGGTCGAACGGCTGGCCGAGATGGAGCGGCAGCGGCGGGCCAAGGAGGCCGAGCAGAAAATCATCGAGGAGGAGGCCGCCAAGCGCATCGAGATGCTGGTGAAGAAGCGCGTGGAGGAGGAGCTGGAGAAGCGGCGGGATGAGATCGAGCAGGAGGTCAATCGACGTGTCGAGACCGCCAAAGCCGAGATGGAGCGCGAGATGATGCTGGAGCTGGAGCGACGGCGCGAGCAGATACGCGAAGAAGAACGCCGGCGCGAGGTAGGTGCTCGTATTCAGATTCCGCTGGACGACTGCTGCTATCACTGTCAGAAAAACGTACACAATGCCACATCTACCGTAAACTCGAACAAACCCAAAACAGCAGTTCAAACAGTCGTCTTCACTACGTTAGGCGAAATCGATCCGGCGGCGCTCTCAGCCACGGCTCACTGGGCGTTCATCCATCATCCGTCACCCATCATCCCATGTCCCATCGGCATTCCCCTAACAATAGATATAAGCTTGCATAACCCCGGGCACTGGGCGCCCTCTAACCGGCTATATCACTAACCAGTCGTCACGCCTTTTTCAGAGCCCCACCCACCTGCAGCCTGCCACGCAGTGAGTCGGGATGTGAGCGCCACGGCTGATTTCGCCCCTTTCTTCTTGCCAATAATTTTTGTAATTTTTATTTTTCCTACCAAAAAAGCCATAATGACGACACTGCCATGTGTCGCATGTGTCACAGTCACAGTTACAGTTTTGAAGCCCATTATTGCAGACCTCTTTGCATACTCTTAGCTTCATCTTTTGTTCGTTCCTACCCCCACATACTGTATCATTTTAATTTTGGTATTGGTTCTTGTAACTCGTTGTTGTTGTTATTGCGCGCGAACTCCGCTTCAGTAGGCCCGTGCAACGAACGTGCTGCTCTTGTCCCGTCTGCAAGTGGGTGTTTTGTGACCCGAACCCGCAAAACACTTGCGTGCACTACACGTTGAGCCGCAATGCCGGAAATTCCATGGACGCACTTCCTCCACAACCCCCAAAATACAAAAAATCCACATAAAAAAAACAAAGCAAATCGAAGTGGTGTCCCCAAGTTAGTTCGGGTAGTTAGGCTGTCTAGTTGTGGGGCGGGCCGACTGATTTAAGTCCCAACTGTACCTGTACGCTGCATGCAAACCAAATCAATGCCAATAAACGACGGGTGAGTTTCCTACGCCAGCGATGTGATAAGCCAGCAGCCGTAAGGATAACAGGCGCGACAACCACCTTAACTTGCCTTGCGATCGGCGAATGGACGCCAATGAGACCCAAAGACATACCCCAAATGTTTAGCCCTATAGATCTCTGTCTGTAAGATTTTTAATAACCGGATTCACATTGGATTCTTGACCGTACCAATTGCCAAGTATTTGTGTTTGAGTTTTTTGTTTTTTCGAGCAATTAATGTACGTCTGGATTAGCGACAAACTCCACAAATCATATACCCAAATCGAAAATCTGCAAAAAAAAATCTATAAATTAACACAAATTTAGCCTTTGTACTGGAATAATGACCTATTTAAATAGTAAGTAGCAACAATAAAAAAAAAAAAATTCAAATGAAGACCAACCATTTAGCAAATACTTAGTACATTTGTTTATGTTGTGTGCTCCTTTATTGTAATAAACTAAAAGAACAACCTACTTTAAACATACTTATTAGACACTACTAAATGTTTTACTTTCTACCAAAATTTTCTTTGTAACTTATTGTTAAACATAAAACTAGATTCTAACTGCCTTTGCAGCTCATCAAGCAAAAAAAAAACTGCAACCACAAACGTGCGTCGAATTCGTCGCACAGTTTGCATCGCTGATGTCAAGAGACTGTTTATATTTATGCCCTAGTTCTAAGCTTCCGGCTAACAGGTTGACTTACGTTATTAATCGTCCTTTTGTTTGGGTTTTATAGGAGGATGAAAAGCAAAAACGCGAAGAGCTCGAAGAAATTTTGGCCGAAAACAATCGCAAAATCGAAGAGGCGCAAAGAAAACTGGTGAGTCTAGTTTTTTAACTAATGATTTCTAATTCTAATAATTTCTTTCATAGGCCGAAGAACGGTTAGCAATAATTGAGGAGCAGCGGCTCATGGACGAGGAGCGGCAACGCATGCGCAAGGAGCAGGAGAAGCGCGTCAAGGAGGAGCAGAAGGTTATTCTAGGCAAAAACAATTCCAGGCCCAAGCTTTCGTTCTCCTTGAAACCGGGAGCATTGTGAGGGACGTAGGCATCTGTCCGGTGACCGTCGCACCTTTTTCTTGTTAACAGCTTTTGCTTTTTTTTTTACCTCAGTGGCTGCTGTGCCTGCGCCAAAGACCATCCACTCGTTTTCATTGTTGTAATTGTGTTCTATATTGTTTTATTATTTAAGGACGAGCAATGGTGTTTGGGGGCAGGCAAAGCGAAGCCAATAGATTCACCGTTTTCAAAATTGCCAATTACTGAACATATACGGCTCTATATAGTACAATACGCTAGCGATTTATTTAACCTTTTCTACATAAACAATTCAAATGTGAGACAAATGATTTTGTGTAGTGCATCGTACTGTTGACACAGCTGAATAATTAACAAAAAACCAAAAAAAAAAAGATGTCAGTGAAATATATATGTAATCCATTTGCAATTTTTTGATATTTCAAGAAAACATATAACGCAACTGAAATCGATAATAAAATCTTTAGAAATGCCAAAACGTGAATTTTGTATCTATTTTGTAAAATTTAACATCAATCTGTGGGTCAGACATTTATACTGTGAACTGAAAAACAATTAAAGGTAATAAAATTCCTTGAAAAATATAGCAAACGTTTACTAAACTACCTGTTGAATCTTCACATTTGTCAGCCAATTATTACTTGGATTTCTTAAATATGTGTTGCCAAAGCACAAAGTAGTGTGCCTGAAGAACTAAACACCATTCGCTTAGCATATTTGACAGAATTGCCAAAACATACAAGCAATTTTTAGCTCCTACACCACCCTTCCATTCCGATCCCTGCAGTCAGTTATATCGGACACGATCTCCGCTGGTGTACATGTCGCTAAGTAGACACAACTTATTATTTATAGATACTACTTCAATTTAAATGTCTTGTAGCTGATTGGGTTGGGCGACGCTGGACAGCGACCGACAGCCGGCACGCCCGCGCGGAGCGGTGGAAATGGAGCTTGTATTATCGATCGGAAGGGGAGACGGAGGAACTGATCTGTCCAAGTGCGTGAGCAGGCGGCGGCGATGCCAAATTGGTGCACGACCACTCACAGTCAGAGTCAAACCACTCGCACCGAAATCGTAATGTGGTTCTAAGCGAATGTGGCGCAAGATATGAATACGCATACGCACTGAGCCACTCCAATCCATAGCAGTCCACTGCACTCCAACCAACTCCAGCAGAACCCACCCCACTTGACCAGCCTATTACTTCATATCGAATTTGGCAACGAGTTTGCTACGAGGAGTCCACGGTGCCAGCCTTTGTCGCATTGATTTGTGTGCGGGGCACATGCGTGAAAGGCAACGACGCCGCCACCTGACCAGCCCAGACCCAGATCCAGATCTAGATCCACATCGAGATCCAGATCCAGATGCATTGCAGCGATCTTGGGCGGCACACACGGGCGGATGTTGCAATTTGATTAATTAATTAAGTGGAAAATCGGCAAAGCTCTTAGCGGTTTTTTGTCTGCGAATGTCAACGTGCAATTTGTTTGATGTGACGGCGATAATGCCCCTCCTCCTATAACCATTGAATATGTCAGCCAACTTGTCTGGTAGTTTACTGACGTCTAATTGAGATATAAATAATATCCGGAAAAAGCATTTTCAGAAATCAATGAGAAGTCGCCTAATAAAAGACTATAGTTTAATTTTGTTATATTAAAATTGTCAGTTCGAATATAAAATTTGTTTGTTGTATTAGCCAATGCATTGTCTATATCCATTCAAGAAGTCATCCAACTTTTTTGGAAGACGGTGAAATTATTAAAATAGCATTGATATTCAATCCTTGAAAAACCATACCAAAAAACTTTTAAAACTTTATATTTTAAAGTAATAAAATTGAACTCAAACACACAGAAAAAAAATGAACAGTATTAATTTTATATAATTGAAGATCAACAAACATGTATATTATTTGCCATAGAATAATGTAATATTGGAAATATTGGAGAAAAAAAGGAAAAGTTATTGATTTTAATTTTTACAATGAATAAAATGTATAATATTGTCTGTCAATATTGAGATAAAGTTTAACATATTTTACAAGCAAACTTTTACTTGAAGTAACATTTATAGGAAACGTACAGGTTCATTTAGAAATTTTTGTATGATGGTCAATTTAATAACTTTTTTTTATACTTACCCTTACATATTGCAAACTAATGAACAGCTATCAATAATAATTATAGTGAATTTATAGTTTGATCGTTCAATGATAACCTCCCCCAACTTTCACTTGACTTTGGCACACTATCATTGTTTTGTTTCAGTGACAAGAGCTTACGCTTACCGGGTCCAAATTGCTGCCCAAACTGGAGCAGTGTAGATGTTTTATTACCAGAGTACAAGATTTGCCGAAAAAATGAAAAATGAAATAAAAATATAATAACAATTTTGCATTAGCTTGATTCCGGTTCGCTGGGTGAGGCGATCGTAGATCGTTTTTTGGGAGTATGTGGTGTGGGTTATGGAGTGTGTGGTGTGTGTGGTGCGTGTGCTTGGAGCGTGGCACCCATTAAGATCATTCGATGGAGATGAAGGTGGAGGTGGTGGGGCCGGGCCAGAGAGCAGTAATTTGACTATAAAAGTTGCGATCGCGACACTTGGAGACATAGTTCAGTGCAGCAGCCGCAGCAGCCACCAAGTCAGCCAGTTCACCAAATCCCAAACCAAGTCCAAGCCAAAATGTTCGCTGTAAGTAAGAAGGCTCTAAGGATTAACGCCTTAGCATCATCAAAATTGCATCTAAAATGTTTACTTCAAATGTGTTGTAAACTATGATATTAGAAAAAGGATATGTTATAAAATTTTAAATAGATCGTGATAAAAGCCTTTCTAGAAAGTGGACATGAAATAATATCTTTTGAAAAAAAAATAGTATCCATAAAAAACTATAAAGGAATACAAAGCTAAACTAAAAAGACACATTATATTAAACAAAGGTCAATGTTTAAAAAATTTTTTTTTTTACAAATACAAATATAAAAAAATATTTAAAAAACTTTAATTAGTAATATAAGATAAAAATGATTGGCTAATAGATTAGCAATTTAAGAGGAAAACCAAACTATAGTTGAACTTTCAATCATATAGATAATAGATTAATATTTAAACAATTTTTTTAAAATATTTTTTTTTAAATTTATACTTACATATATTGAAGAACTTATATCTTTAACTAATTCTAAATGGATTTTTCAGCTCGTCTCTCTTTTCATCCTGGGTGTTGGAGCAGCCGCTGCCATCGAGCTGCCGATCAGCCCGCTTTACCACTCACCCGCCCTTGTGAAGCCCCTGCTGAAGACCATCGAGGTGGAGGCACCGGCCCACTACGACTTCGCCTACTCGGTGCACGACGAGCACACCGGCGACATCAAGAGCCAGACGGAGTCCCGGAAGGGCGACCAGGTCCAGGGCCAATACACGCTGGTCGATGCCGATGGGTATCTGCGCACCGTGGACTACACCTCGGATGCCCACAACGGATTCAATGCCGTCGTGCGTCGCGATCCGCTGGGCCACAAGGTGGTCAAGGCCGCGCCCATTGCCAAGATTCTGGCCCCCGCCCCCCTGCCTCTGGCCTATGCGGCACCCAAGCTCCTCGCCCCCGTCAAACTTCCCCTGGGTGTTTACCACTAAGCTCTGGGCAGAACAATTGATCGAGAGAGATAGCAAACACTGACTTCATCGCATCGACAACGACGACCCATTCGCATCCGCATCTGTATCTGTATCTGAACTGTTGCTTAACTACCCAGTCACCTCGTATCGTAACGACCTTTCTCTGAACATATCTTCTTTTCCTACTCTACGATATCTCTACTAAGTTTTTTCGGCACCGTGTCATCGAATGTGCCATAAATCGATGGCCGAGGGCCTCTATCTCATCTATGTAAATACTTTGTGCATATAGAAGGCAATAAATGCATTTTTAGAAAACATACTTTGATCTTTTTGAGATTTTTAATTGAATTCCTGCCTTTTGAAACATTTTCATTATAGTTATATATATATTATATATATTATATTATATACAAAATATATAATATATAAAAGCGCCCTTTGGAGATAAATTGATATATAGATTTTTGATTTGTTATGGCATCTTTAAAGTCATGTTTTAACTTTCAATATATAAGTTAAGACTCGAAAAGAGCCACAAAATCCTAATTGAGGAGAAATTTGGAATTAGCTTTTATTATAAATTAGTATTGTCTTAACGGCCCATAAGTGTACTGTACGATGTTTTCTTGTTTTTGGATAAGCCAGTTTTTAGATGGCAAAAACCAATAGGATTCCCTCTTTCGGTAAATGATTCTACATGAACATTAAATGAACAGCCCTTTGATTTATTCTATGGAATACACATTTTTCATCAATCATTATGGTAGCCAAATCGTGAATTCAGTCAGCTGGGAGAATCCTTTCTCTGGGAACCGAACTCAATAGTGGGATATCGGTTCCCGACGAACCTGAGCATTAAAGCCCAACAGCGGATCGGCGGAGTAGTCCACAATGCGTCGGTGGCCATCTGGATCGTTGAGGGAGTAGCGACCCGTTACGTATTCGCCCCGTCGGTGCTCGAACTGATCCTTAACATCGCCAGTGTGGCTGTCGTGTACAGAGTAGTGGAACTCGTACTGGGCTGGACTAGCGATCAGTAGTTCGTCGGGATGGCTGGCAATGATCCCGGCCTGAACAGTAACCAGGGCGCTCAGGATAAGGCAGCAGGCGATGCTACAATGCTGCTCAACAGATTGTTATATATGTATAAAGGGATATATAATGTCCTGACTTACCAAGACATGCATGGCGAAGAAGTACGAGGTGTTTAATTGGAGCGATGAAGTACACTCGACTGATGATTAAGAGCTGCACTCGGCCCTCTTTTATATGATAGGCCGACACTTGGCCCATTGTCGCAGTGGCCAACTTATGTGAGATGAAATCAAATACGCCTTATGCAACCCATATACCTTTGCCGTGGGGGAAATGAAACCAAATCCCTGCACTTGCCTTCAACTTTTTGTTTGCAATCGATTCAAAACTCACTCGGATTATATTATCGTATGGTAGCTTAAAGTACAAATTAGACTCGAGGCTCAAGTTCGTAGGCTATTTTACACAATAGTTTAGCTTAATTGTATCACAGCAATAACATTATATCGAGACTAAACTAACTCTACACGCCGATCCGTTGATTCCATCAATTCCATGGCTTGGTGATTTGGACTTGTATTTGGATTCAGTTCGAAAATACGTAGATCAACGCAGGCACTTTAATTTACTCCATTCATTCTGTTTCAGGTACAACGATCCATCTCCTCAGAATTTGTTCTCCAGCAGCGATCCTAAGAACACAATAGTAGTAAATTTTAAACTGCAGCCTGAGAATTTCTTAGTGGTGCTCTTTTAATTTACACTACCATTTGCAAGTTCTAATTGGGTGATTGCTAAGAGACTACTTATTGTGGACTGGGGGGAGTGCTCTCGACTTCTACGCTTGCTGATGATGATTACTCAAAACCAAGTTACCATTCTCGGCCACCATCCAAGCCGTCAGCTTCTCGTCCTCCGTCTTGTTGGTTTCATCCCAGGGGAAACTGGCTGCCACCGCGGGCTTCTCCTTCTGAGTGTTTTGAGCTCTGAAATAATGTTTGGACCAACGTCAATTGTTTTAAAGTGGAAATAGTATAGAGATGTCTAACTACGATATGTATCTTGTTAATGGCCATAAGAAAGTAAAAAATTGTTTTGTAATTTATTAAACTGTATTTGTCAAAATTAATTTATGATGTTATGTTTCATTTAAGAAAGTAAAATGATTCTTAAAACTCAATATCTGACTTAAGTGGGACACTCAAAAGTAAATAAAAATAAAATAAATCAATATAATTAAATTCGCTTTCACTAAAAAACACTTAAAAAGATTTAAAAACCATTTCAGCTTGTTCTTTATGTTAAATAAAAGTTTTAAAATACCCCGAACAAGATAGGATCGTACATAAATAGGTGAGGTTCAGAAATTAAGGCAATTTTAGATAAAAATGGGTCAGAAAAAAATTTAAATCTTTCTTTACAGAAAGATTGTGTAATTAGAGACAGGCAAATTAAAAGTGCTTAGACTACGGAAGGGAAATCCTTGCTGAAAGTACAAGTACAGCCAGAAATTACTTCCCCTTAAATACGATGATGATATGTATGATATATGGTGTGGTGAAGGTCTCTACTGCTACTGAATCATATTTACAGCTCAATGGCGAATGTTGGTTTTTACCTTATGGGCCAAAAGCGACATTCTTCATCAATTGAGGGGGAGGACGAGGAGGAGTTATCACTTGGGGCACCCGCACAAAGTGTTCAATGTTCAATGTTCAATGACAAGCAAACGAAAACACACACATAACGACGACAAATAGACAAAGAGAGAGAGAGAGAGAGAGAGAAGAGAGACAGAGTACAATGTAGAGAGAGACAGGATGCAGGATGCAGGATGATCATGAGGATGCAAGGAAGCACGGGTCAAGGGCTACAGGGCATGCAGGCCAGGGCAGTGGACATCCCCCACCCACTTACAGCGAGTCCGCATGGCTGCCGTTGTTCACCTCCAGGCTGCTCTGGGTGGCCTTCTTCCGCAATCCCGGCCTGGGCAGGAAGCTCTCCCCGAAGAGATCCCGCTCCCGGGGTCCATGGCCATGGCCACCGCCCGTCGACGTCGACGTCTTGCCGCTCTTCGCCTGCTGCGTGGGCGGCACCGTGTGCGGATACTTGCCGTCGCTGTCGGAGTCCATGGACAGCTGCCCGAACAGATCCTCCAGCAGAATGTTGGCCTTGGCATTGCGCTGACGCTTGGCGGAGTTCTTTAGCTTGGAGCTGCTTGGAGCGGGGGAGATACGGATATACACACGGTGAGGACAGAACAGCGACAGAACAAAGTGCGGTGCCGGGAGTGCACACTCAGAAACTAATTACCATCAAATAATTACAAAATTATCTTTAAATCTATAACTCTACACTCATACAAATGTAATTATTCACCAATTTTGACAAGGAAAATCTAATGTTCTCCTTAATTAATTTTTGAATGTTTTTGAAAAACCAAGAAAAAAACTTTTGCATTGTATCACCATTTTACCCCAGAAAATATTTATATATTCTTCCTATTACATTTTTAAACATTTTGTTTTAAAACTAGGAAACATGTTTCCAAGCTTATAGATCTATTCCGGATTTCCCTTTTAGAATTTGTTCACTAGTTCGATAATTACTTAAACCAATTTAAATGATTATATAGAAAGTTTACCATTATTAATTTGCAAGTGTATGGTACTTAATAGGTTATAAAAATAAAATTATAAAAAATGTTTTTTGAAAATTGAAAAAACTTCTTAACGCATAAAAAATTCCAAAAAATATGGTATGGTAAAAAATTGTATATTTTCAGTATATATATATAAATTAAGTTAGGGCTATTTTTTAATTTGTTGTATACCTTTTTTTTTTAAATATGTACATTTTAAAGGGGAAAAAATTTCTCAATTAGCAATCATTTTTGTACGAGTGTATGCTATGGAAATCAAGGGATTTTTTCAAATTTTAAGGGGAAGTTGAATGTATTTTGATCTCCTAACTCACCCGAGTATCAGATCCAGATCGTCGGACTTCAGAGCACCCATTTTGGAGTCCTGGACTGCTGGCCGCGATCTTCCCGAGAGTCGCAATGGTGGAGGAGCCGCATCCGGTTGCAGTTGCGGCTGGCGCACAATGAGGCTCGGAGGAGCCTGGCTGGCACTGACCTTGGAGAACACGTTGTACACTTTGGCATCGGGGCCGAGGAGTGATGGCCTGGCCACTGGCACATAGTAGCCACCATTGGTGGCACCCACCACGAGCTTGGCGCCGGCGTTCTTGGCATTCATGTTGGCCGTGTCGTAGCTGAGGTGGCTGCCATTGACGTAGATGGTGCCTGCATTCCGGGACGTGGTGGTGCTGAAGGAGACGTTCGGGTGGTGCGGGTGCTGTGATCCAGCCGGCAGGCCAAAGAGCTGCGAAATGTTGCGATTCAGGTAGATGTCGTTTATGGATTCGCTCCCGTTCTGCATCTGCGGCCCCTGGAGCCCATCCGTCGTGGCTCCTCCCAGGCTGGAGGAATCGGCCAGCGAACCCGCACCCATCTCGTGGCTGGTCAAGTAGCTCAGCTTCGGTTGGTACTTTCTCGACATTCCTCCATTCTTGGCCGTCTGATTGCTGTTCTTGCCAAGATTGGAGTGGCTATTGATAACGATGTTGTTGTTGTTGTTGCTGTTGTTGCTCTGGTGGAGCAACTCGGTGACCGCCTGCAGCTTCTCCTGCACCGGAAGCACATTGTTGGAGACTGCCTGAGCCGGATGGCCATTGGCATTGGACGCCGCATACTTCGAGCTGAGCCGCACATTTGCCTTGGTGGCCGCCGTGGGCGAGATCCGCTTGAGGGCATGGAAATACGGATATTTGAGGCTCTGCTGGGCCGTCGGTCGCTTGTCAGGATCGTAGGCCAGCATGTCCTCCAGCAGGTCCAGTCCGTTTTGGCTGCAGCGGCTGACGACGCTGCTCAGTGGCACTTTGATGCAGTCCGGGTATCGGAAGTGGATCATGCTCGCCAGTCGATATCCATCCGGCCAATCGTTCTGCCGGAGAAAAGGAACATAACTTTGAGATTGAGAAAACTGCAGTACTGAAGCTTAGCAACGACTATTTAAATAAAAAAGAACATGAATATGGAAAACGTTTAAAATATCAAACTTTTAACAAATAGGCTTTAGGACTTAACATTAAATCACTATCATTTTGATTGTTTTGAAAGAGGTGTCCCAGTATATGCTTAAGTACTTTTTCAATATCAACTACAAATTTACAAATTTAACTTTATATAACAACTGGTAAGCCAAAAGTTGGAAGATTTATCTTTAAAGCTGCATAATTTTAATTAATCCAAGATCTAATTAATCCTAAAGTAAATAAATTTGATGCTGTCAGCTCGCTTTACCCAAAACAGGAACGTGATGGAAAGTTTTCCATTACGAATTAGTGATCAGATTTATTCTGACGACTACTGTTGGGCCAAAAGAAAGTACTGATTTTGTCGACTAGTGTTAAGTAAAATAATTTAATCGCAAATAGGACTCACCTTCTCTGGCGTACCCAGCACGGAGCAAATCTTGAAGAGCTGATCCACCTCACTGCTGCCCGGGAAGAGCGGTCGGAAGGTGTAGAGCTCGGCCATGATGCAGCCCATGGCCCAGAGGTCGATGGTGCTGCCGTAGTTGGTGGAGTGCAGGAGCACCTCCGGTGCGCGGTACCAGCGGGTCGAGACATAGTCCGTAAACGGAGGCCGCGATCGGATCTCCCTGGCCAGTCCGAAGTCGGCTATCTTGATGAGGTCCGGACCGGAGCAGAGCAGGTTCTCCGGCTTCAGGTCGCGATGGAAAAAACCGTGACGGTGCATGAAGGCCAGTCCAGTCAAAACCTGCATAATAAATTGTCAATAAAGTTTTAGTTTTAATTTAATTTAATTTTTTTATATTTGTTATGGTGTAATAAAACCAAACACAAATCTCCAAAGATATAAAAACTACATATATGTATAATAAATACATTATTAATCTGAGTTATCTGGGTAAAGAGTCTGTGAAATCAATTGATCTTTGTTAAGATATAGTGAAATACAAAAACAAATCTCCAGAGATTTTCAAACTACATCATACTAACTAGCACTCGCTAGTCAAAGTGTCTTGAAACAAGATTTCCATATCATACATATTCTTTCAATAGGTTTCAGCCCATGGAATATAAGAAACATGAACATCTCATTTACTCCAAAGACTACGTACGGTATTTACATAATAATTAGCTCAATCGAGCTTACCTGAAAGAGTATACTTTTCAGCTCCGGCTCGGGAAGATGGGTGTCCCGGTCCTTGATCATTTGGTAGAGATTCTCCTTCATGTACTCGAACACAAAGTACAGGGTGTCGTTCTCCCGGATCACCTCCTTCAGCTTGACGATGTTTGGATGGGACAGTTTTTTCAGCGACTGCAGCAGAAGAGCAGTTGGTCAAAGAAGGCACAAATATAAGACCCTATACTCTACTTTATACTCACCTTGACCTCGCGCAGATTCATGGCCTCTTCCCAGGAGTAGTACTTGCGCTTCATGCGCTTTATGGCCACCTTCTCGCCGGTGTCCTTGCGCTGACCCAGGACCACGGTGCCGTAGGTTCCATCGCCCAACTGGGTCAGTGTGATGTAGCGGTTCATCCTTATTCAGACGGGGGGCAGCTCTTCACACATTCTCCGGATGCAACTACAATGCACGAAGGGACGGCAAAAATAATGGTCAGTATACAGTATATATGTCACTTAACAAGCAGGAGGGGTCTTCAATAACTTATGAGTTCCGCCCATGTGTGCTGACAAGGGAATCACAGTTAAATTAAACTACTTGCAACCTCAAATCGAATCCAACTTGGGCATTCGTGAGTCTCCGTTTTCAGCTCAGCTCAGTTAATTAAAATCAATATATCGATCACGGGACAGCCGGCTAAGAACTTGACCAAATTTATTTAACCCAAAAACGTATTTCCCATCAGGGTCAGCGAAGGAATGAAATAAAATAAAGGAATGGTATAACACCTCCGGACATGATTTATGATTGTCACAACTAGTTTGTTGACTAGCGGCGATACAATTAACGAGCGATAGGAATCTGTTGTGTTGAATGGAAATTTATTTTTTAAACAAGTTGAAATTAAAGACATGTACTGCTATTTTATTCTTAATCTCTACATTTTATTCAACAATGACTACATTCTTCTGTGAATAATAATTACATCAAAAAATATCACACTTCGTTCTTTTAAAACGTGCTTGATGTAAAAAAAAAACAGATTTGTAGTTAAAAAAAAACATCTTAATTGGCTCAAGTAAATTTGGATTTGTATTTATGAAAATAGAATAACTATTTTATCTATTGATTTTTGATTAATTTATTTGTTATTTTATAGTTAATTTCTTATAGTTCAAATATCACTTTTTCTCAGTATCTTAAACTTAAACTTAACTGGCTCAGACAAACGACAAAAAATGCAACACAAATGCAAATTGTATTTACCAAATCGTTACACAGTTTCTAATAAAATTATTTAGAACTAATTTTAATCTATTTAACAATTTTACGCTACAAGTTTTTTAGGGCGTTTCTAATTACATTAAATTTTTTTTTGCATGATTCCTCTATGTCGCGACAAACAATATTTTCTCTATTCTTAAAAAAGATGGCACTAAAGATGGTTCTACTTTCTGCTCTGGCTTGGGCTGGTTCAAGATATTCATTTGGATTGGGGGTTCCTTGATAAAAACTTTCGAAGACTATTGTTTTATGTTTTAATCCCGATATGAATAAACTAGCACTTATTTAATTTAAACGTTTTTGGAAAGAGTTTAACTGCAATCTTTGGGATTTTCGGATGGATACTGATAATAAAAAAATATTTTGTTTGTTTGGGGAACGCGGAATTATTATAAAAAAAAGAAGCCTTGAATGAATCCATTTAGGAAAATTAAAGTCTAGTTAAAGGCCTAATGAAAATTCCAAGTTGACCTTTTATTTTTTTTTGTAGGAGCCTCTTAAATCCAGGTCTCATATCTTAACTGATATATACGTTTTTCTTTTGTGTTTTTTAAGCAATAGTAGAACATATTTTTACATATAAATAAAAAAATTAAAATATTTTCTTCTGGTGCTTGGTAACCTTAACAGAAATATATTTAAAAGTCAGTTGAACGTTTCAAATGTTATTAAGCCACTGAGATTATACTATAGTTTATTTTGCCAAAATTGACTGAAATATACTTCTTTTGGCTTAAGTTGTAATGATAGTTTTTAGGAAGAAAAGTCTCCCTTGCTGTTTCCTTACAGAAAGTATCAACCCTCAAAAATATAAAACACCATTAAAGAACTTACCTTTTACCTTTTCAACCCCTTATAGAATTTTGTTATTTCTATTTTTAGGCGCATTGTTTATAAGTTATTCAGAACTTAAACCTTTTTAGAAGAAATTTTAAACCAAAACAAATTAGGTCAATACCGAACATAATCATAAACCAATAACTTATCCTATTTTCGACAATAGAGTATAGGCTTTGAGATGATAAATTTATTTGCACTCAATTTGGAATACTCATGTATCGTAATTGGATTGTGGTTACTTGGCGAATTCAGTTCCTTGGGCGATAATTTATTCATTGTATGCGAACCGTTCCCACCTTCGATATCCCATATAGATGTATATATATGTATATATACAATGGATTGTTTTGGTTTGCCAAATTGGGGGGAAAAGGGCGGTTTCGGGGGCAACTGGAAACACGATTCGAAGTGGCTTCTGGCTTTTTCTTGAATTCTGCGTCACAGCCTTGAACCACTCACATTTGACTCACTTAAACTCTAGGCACGCACATCCGACGCCCGATTAGCCGATTACTATATGCACCACTATATCCGATAAGCGACTTTTTGCACCGTGCCCAAGCAAACAAACAAACTTCAATGTTCGGGGTCACTTTATCGATTGAGCTGGGGGGTTGACAAAAGGAGCACTCGGTCTGCACTTTTCTTTTTGCACTGCCATCAGAAGAAGATGTAGGACCAGGACCAGGAGGTTCGATATTACTCGTACCTTAAACGCAATTGCATTTGAATCCGAGATCGCTGGTGTTTAATGTGTTAGTCCGAATTAAGTTGGGATTTATGACTGCTCCCAGTGCGGATATCCTTGCCGAACAGAAGTTTATTTGATAAGCAAACACTGACAACTGGCAGGCCCGATATCCACAACAACGCGACGAGCCAGGCAACCGCAGTCCAAACTAGACCACCCTTCGAATCCGGGAGAGAAAGCTAGCAGCCGAAGGTCCCCGAGCCGGCTGAACGGGTATCCGGCTCCGGTTCCGAAGTCTTTGGGGGTGTGAATACGAGCCACGACGGTTACTAGGCAGTGCCATGTTGTGTGGGTTGCCCCTGGCAACCTCGCCTCGAGTCCATTTTGGTGACCACGCGGATTGAGGATTAAGGTTTCAGTAAGCGCCAACCGCAATGGACGAACCGGTCAACACTCAGTCAGGTGAGAGTCCAGCTGAAGAGGAGGAGGAGGATGAGGAGCCCCTGAGATGCTTCCTGGAGGAGATTAACTGCCCGGAACCAGGCATCATAGATCGCCAAATGATAGAGACCGCCTATCTGGAGGAGGGCCAAAAGGGCGAGGCGAGACGTCTCCACCAACTGGAACCAGTGGTCTATGATCGCATCACCACCATGCGGCTAGAGTTCAAAAGTAAGTGTTTTCCCAAAGGCAAAGAGACAGACTGTCCTAAGGACCTATCACCCAGATATCCTGAGAATTGATCACCTTTGGATGATGCCCAATCTTACCAAGCTCTGCTTGAACTGCAACAAAATCGAGGTGATTGAGCATCTGGAAATGCTAACTGCCCTCAAAGATCTGAATCTCAGTTTTAACTACATCACGCGAATTGAGAACCTGGAGACACTGGTCAACCTCGAAAAACTCTCACTGTTTAGCAACCGCATCCGGAGAATCGAGAACATACATACTTTGGAGAATCTCGTTATTCTCAGCATTGGAAATAACCTTATCGATACGGTGGAGGGGGTAAGACTCTCAAGATAGTTTCTTACTATTATTTACTCTTTGTAACCATTATATTACAGATAATAAGATAATTAGATTACAAGTAAATTTTAATGTTGTTTAATTTATAGTGCCCTCTTGAAAATATGAAAATATAATATATAAAATACAAATTAAGCTACCTTGTAATCGACTCTTTTGATTCAAAAGTTGGAAAGTAAATAATGAGAATGTGTCAAAATATACTTACAAATTAAAGTTATTAATTTTTTTCCTTGCTAACTTCTAGATTGAACGCTTACGTTTTGTGAGCAGTCTCAAAGTGCTCAACCTGGAGGGTAATCCCATTGCCAAACTGCCGGACTTCCCGTTGTCCCTTTATGTGACTGCCATCCTGCCCCAGTTGCGCTACTACGAGTACATTTTCATCAAGACAGAGGTGAAGGAGGAGGCCAAGAAGCGTTTCTAGTGAGTCTAGTCCTTGGTTCTGCCTTACTTATCCCAAGAGTAATGTTTTTGCCAAACATGAATAGTCGAGAGTTGCGCGAAATCGAGGACAAACAGGAGCGTGAGATCCAAGGCCTGGAAACGAAGGCTCGTGAAATGGCCGAGGCGGACAGGCTGGCCTCCAGTTTTGTGGAGCATCTGGATGGTCAGCAGCTGTACGAGTCCTTGTGGCGAGACGACGAGGAGGGGCGCATTCTGATGTTGGTGGGGGCACAGGCTCAGGAGCTCTACGAGGAGTATTCCAAGGATGTGTACGAGCTCACCCAGCAGATCTACCGCCTGGGCCTGGAGCGATTCGGTGAGCGGGACGCGGAGATTCGCGACTTCAAGGCCAGCCTGCACGAGGGACAGGAGGAGCTGCAGGCTCAAGGTCAACGGCAAATCGAGCAGTTCCTACAGTACAAGGAGCGAACCTTCGACGAGATGCGCCTGAAGTGGAGGGAACTGGACCAGCGCGACGATGATTTGGAAGCCCTGCAGTCCCAGTTGGATACCCTGAATGCCCACTTTGAGGACGCCCTAAACGAGCTGTGGGAAAGTCTGATGGCTCAGGAGCTCCATCTGCACGAGGCTGTTGAAGTGAGCTACTCAACTCTACTCTACTCTAAGCTAGTTTACCTTAGTTACTCCCTTTTTTTCGCACAGGATTCCACGTTAAATTTCAATCGGAAGATTTCCGAACTAATGGCCAGCTTTGTGGAGCAGGCTCAGGTGATCTTCCAGCAATTGCGAGATGTTTGCAGTCACTTTGCCCACAACATGACGGAGGTAGTCACCCAATTCCTCTCCAGCAAGCTGAGTCGCCAGGAGCAGAATGCCATTCCCGAAGAGCTGAGAAAGTGTGTGGACGATCGCGAGGCAGTGCTGCAGCTGGTGGAGGGCATGAGGACAACCCATACCGCACGGGTGGATGAGCGCGAGGATCGCATGGCTCAACGCAGCAGGGAGTTTATAGATGACATGATCTTCAAGCTTAACAAGTGGGTTCGCTACAGATTCCAAATCGAAGTATCAACCAAATCCATCTCTTTACAGCAACGAAGTAGACCGTCATCGTGCCAAAATTCTAGAGATCAATTCGTTTATGGAAATGATGACACAGGCTTTGGCCAATCTGCCGGGGGAATCGCACCAGGAAGCCTCTTCGGATTGACAACTTTAATAGACACATATACACGTACATATATTATATAATAAATGCAATTTGATCACCTAGCTTGAGGAGCTCCTCTATTTCCTATTTTTAAGACCCTTAAGGTGGTTGCACAGTCCCTCCTGGAAATGTGAAGATGTGACATAGTCCACGCAATCCTTCAGATCCGCCGACCGATCCTTGAGCAAATCCCGCACATCCGGATCGCGGCACATGCGCTTGGTTAGGCTCCTGGCCAGGGGATTGGCCTTGTCGAAGGTGGCCACAAAGGCGGCGCACTTGGACAGCGCCTCCTCCTTGCTGCTCGAGACCTCGTCGACGAGGCCCACCTCCAGAGCCTCCTGGGTGGCAAAGAGCTTGCCCTGGTTCAGAGCCCTCTCCACAATTCGACGGGGCAAAACGCTCTGGTACGAGTGCATCATCCACTTGGAGATGACGAAGCTGAAACGGGTGGCATGGATCCCAATGGACAGATCGGGGAGCATCACCCGGTACTCGCAGGCAGTGGCCAAAACACAGCCGGCGGCAGGAGCATGACCCTGAAAAAGTGTATTACTATGTATTATTCCATAGAACTGTAAGATCTGTATCCGCAGGTGAACTTACATTAATGGCGGCAGCTGTGGGAATACCACAAAGATGCAGGGCTAGCCACAGATCCTGAAACCGGGTCCAGAATAGCTTAAAGCGCTCCACTTCCGGATTCAGCAGCTCGTTGAGATCGAGGCCAGCGGAGAAGACTTTGTCATTGCTCTGAAAAAACATAATGTACTCATAAAAAAGTGATTGAGTGATTTTGGGGAACCCCAAACCCACCGAAGTCAGGATGAGTCCGCGGCTCCGGTTGCTCTCGATCTGATTGATCGAATCGATGAGGTCGTGCATCAGCTCCATGGTCAGAGTGTTCACCGGCGGCTGATTCATCGACAAGGTGGCGATTCCACTTTTATCATCCACCTCTATGGTGGTCAGCTTCGATGGCGCCCCTTGGCTGAGGGATCGAAGGGATTGAACCCCGCAGAGGATGGGCTTCATCCGCCTGGCTGCATCTATCAGCCTGTTACGCAACATTACGACGACTTCGGATTTGGAGCAGCAATCACGCACTGAGCGACAGGCAGGAATTTGAACAAATTAACCTGTTTATCATATACAAAGTCGAGTTGCGAACCAACGAAAACAAACAATCAAGCTGAAACGATCAGCTGGTTAAGCATTTCCAGGCGAAGTTCACACGGTGCCAGAAAATCACGATCAACAAGTGGTTATCGAGGGTCTCAGAATTCCTGATTTTTTAATAGATACTTTTAAGTTCTACTTGTTCTAATTCACACTTCCCAGTGATAAATTACTTTTAATGAAAGGAGTTAAATTGATTTTAAGGGATTAATTAAACTTGATTACAAGGGGTTGAACTGAACTGAACTGAATTAATTGTTATTCGTGATCTTCGAATTAAGTTATCATCTCAAAATGTGCAGTGTAAATAGTTGTTTGTATGTTAGTGTTAGATCAATATAAGTTCTACATTTGTGGACGAAAGGTGAGACAAAATAGGCACGAATTTCTTATATTTCTGATATTTAGTAATTAACAAATTTGTATATTAAATACACACATTTTGAATGTAACGATTTAAAAATCTTGTATATATCAAAATTAAATGCCGACATGACCTGGTCTGGTCAAAAATTATAGGTATAAACATCAATTAAAAGCTTAAACTAAAAGTCAGAACTTTAAGAAATGTAATAAGCATTTACTTAAAATAAATTTCCTTTACTTCCTTCCCTTTTTATTAAGGTTTTCCAGATAAATACCCATAACCCTCTGCACCTCTGGTCGTGAGGCTAGGGCTATGAAATCGGACAAATCTTTTTCGCGTATCTTTTCAAACTCCTTGAAATTGTCCGCACGGAATTGTAGTTTGGTCAGTCCACGAGCCAGTGGATTGACCTTAGCAAAGCTGCCGATGAAGTCGGCGCACCTTTCCAGGGCCTCCTCCTTGGAGTTGACGATCTCATCCACCAGGCCTTCCTCGATAGCTTCCTCCGTGGTAAAGAGGCGCCCTTGGGTGAGAGCACGCTCTGCCACTCGCTGAGGCAGTACGTTTAGGAATCCGGACATCAGCCACTTGGGGGCGATGATTCCCAGCTGGGCTTCGTTCAGTCCGATCAGGTATTTGGGCAGCATCACCCGATACTCGCAGGCGGTGGCCAGGAGGCATCCTCCAGCTGGAGCGTGACCCTAAAAAAAAATAAAATTATCAAATAAATTGTAGATATAACCTCCTTAAATTTGTACATAGACAGCCCCTTAAAGACAATTTAAAGTACAAAAAATTAAGAAAGTGTATAGTTTTAATTTAAAAAATACTTTAAAAGTGCTAAAATTTATATGATCAAAATGTTAATCAAAGCATAAAGTATAAATACTACTAGTACACTAGGATAATGCTACAGATTTAAAGCTTCTTCAGATCCCGGCCACTACAACTCACATTGATTGCTGCTGCAGTGGGTAAACTGGTCCCGTAGAGGGCAATCCAGGCTTTTTGCAGTTCAGTCCAAATGATTCGGAGTCGCTCCTTGTCCGTATTATACATTTCCCGAATATCCAAGCCAGCTGAAAACACAGTGGGAAGTGCCTGCAAATAATTCAAATATTATTTACATAATTTAATCATTTATGGAAACCACATACGGAGGTTAAAATGAGGCCCCGGCATTTGTTGTTCTCGACTTCTCTGATGGAGGACTGCAAGTCCATCAATAACTGGACGTTTAGGCTATTGACCGGAGGCCGATTCATTGTAATGGTAGCGATTCCGGTCTTATCATTAACCTCCACTGTGGTCAACTTGGTGGCAGTGGACATCCATCTTTTTGGGCTCCCGCGAGCCACAAATCTTAAGAGATTCGACTGCAGCATTTTTCTTTGGTATGTATGAAAGATGACCTTTGTACTGGCTTTGGCTAAAAGCTTATTTTTATGTTGCCAAGTAAAACAATTCTTTGTAATTTATCTTAAATTGTTGCAATATTTTAAACTCTAAATTGTTACAATATTTTAAAGTCTAACAAAAAGCTCTGTAAGCGAATGTAACAATTCTAATCTACAGCTGCTAAACAACTACTGATCCTCGATGGAAATTTTCCAGACAATTGTTATCACCTATCGAGCTGCCCGGTTTTGAATTATCGAATACAATCAAATTCAAATAGCAATTTAAAAAGCAAAACACTTTTGTTCCTACAGTAAACTATCTAGTAATCTGTAATTTTTGTACCTAGATCTAAACCTAAAGCCTAAACTAAAAAGACAAATGACAAAAAAGTTATAAAAGACTTACCTTACTCTAGAATATACCTTGTTAATATTGTAAATTAGTTGACTACACCTTTTGTTTATTAAGCTCAATTAAAAATAGTTTAAATTTTGCCTTCTATGTATTAAAAATAAAATATTTAAATTAGGCAAATTTAAAACCAATCAACCGTGTTGCTTTTAGTTTGCACAAATGAGATTGAATTCAAAATGCTTTTATTATTATTACAAAATAAAAAAAATATAAAATCCTTTGTTTATTGCTTCTTGGCCTTCTTCTTCAGACCCTCGAGATAAATGCCCAGACCCTTTTGCACCGCTGGCTGGTTCACAAAGAAGAGGAACTTCTCCAGATCGTCCTTCCGCTCGTTCTCCAGCTGCTGGAGATCGGCAGCCCGGAATTGTTGCTTGGTCAGTGACCTAGCCAGCGGATTGACCTTGGCAAAGGTGCCAATGAAGGCGGTGCACTTTTCAATGGCCTCCTCCTTGCTGTTGGCCGTCTCATCGATGAGGCCCACCTTCAGGGCTTCCTCTGTGGTGAACATGCGTCCTTGGTTGAGGGCGCGCTCCGCCTCCCGTTGTGGCAAGACACTGAGGAAGGTGGACATGAACCACTTGGGTGCCACAATGCCCAGTTGTGTTTCATTCAGGCCGATTGTGAATTTTGGCAACATGACTCGGTACTCGCAGGAAGTAGCCAGTAGGCATCCGCCGGCGGGGGAGTGGCCCTAAAATGTATGGTATGGGCTAGTTAGAAGATGAATCCTAGGAGCTCACAAGGTACCCACATTGATGGCCGCTGCTGTGGGAACACTGCTGCCATACAGTGCCAGCCATGTCTCTTGCAATTGAGTCCAGAAGGCCCGAATCCTGTCCTTATCCGGTTTGTACATCTCCAGGATATCCAAGCCAGCGGAGAATATCGTCGAACTAGCCTATGGTTGAATTAAATAGTGTTCTATGTATTTGAACCCTAATCATTTTTAAATCTTATTTACCGAAGTCAGAATGAGTCCGCGGCTTTTGTTGCCTTCGATTTCATCGATAGAGCTCTTCAGATCCTGCAGCAGTTCCAAGTTGAGCCCATTTACGGGTGGGCGGTTCATTGTGAGGGTGGCGATTCCGGTCTTGTCGTTGACCTCCACTGTGGTCAACTTAGTGGCGGTGGACATCAGGCGGTTGGAGCCACTACGGGTCACCAAACTCAGGACTTTCGAACGCAGCATTTTAAACTAAAATGTAGGAGAGAAGCAAACAACTGTGAGTGACCTTTGGACGGATGCCGGTTTCTTCTCTTTTTGGTTACTTATGCCGCCAACAACTTCGATCGTAATTCGGATTAATTATTAAAATAATAAATAAATTAAAAACTCAAAAAAACTGAAGAAGATTTATTCACCTATTAATATTATTTAAACGAAACAATTTTAACAAACAAACACAGCTGCCGCAGAACTTGTTGCGCTATCGATAGGCAGTGGTGTAGCAAAGGGGGTTAGATGGGCAATCGGATTTGCCACGATTTCCTATCACTCTTTGCTTAAGAAAATAAACTAAATTTATACGCATACTGGTGTATTCATTACTTTTTTATAATTTCAGCAACCAAGCTAAACATTTAGAGGACTATACAAATTTTACTATTTTTATTTTTTAAATAAAACAACAACATATAAATCAATTAAATTATATTATTTTATTTATCAATAAATTACAAAGATAGCTGTGATATGTTTACCCAATGCAATGCAGATTTTAAGTGAAACGTACAATGTTAAATAGAACAGTTGACAAACAACTAAAAATAAAAAGGTTTGCTTTTAGTTATTGTGTATTTAACGATTATAATTTTTTAATTTGAAATTATACAAGTACAATCAATCCAAATTTGTTGCTATTTTCTTTCTGTAAAGCAACTTTCAACGCCCCAAAAATTATTTTCAGTGTCTATAATCGACAATCGATTACCAGAGCTGTCATTGACAGCTGCAGTGCAACCCTGCCATTTGACGTTTACACGTCACAATTCGTCGGTGCCGAAACCGACTCGCATTCTTGCATTCGTGTACACCTCACCTCAGTCTTTGCCTCGTCTCCGCTTTGTAGTAACTTTCTCCACGAAAATCCAACGAAAATGGGATCCGGCAAGCAACAGAAAGTGCAGTCCTCTGGCTTCACCAAGGAAGAGGAGCTGCTGCTGCAGGATTTCAGCCGCAACGTGAGCACCAAGTCCTCGGCGCTCTTCTACGGCAATGCCTTTATCGTGTCGGCCGTTCCAATCTGTGAGTAAAGTGACACGTTGTATGTTTTGGGACGAATGATGAATGAATGTTGTGCCTTGCAGGGCTCTTCTGGCGCATCCACAACATGGATCTGTGGCCCAGCTCCATCCTGTTCGTCCTGGTGACGGCGGCTAGCACTTATCTGATGGCCACCGCCTACAAGAACATCAAGTTCCAGCTGAAGCATAAGATTGCCGGCCGCAGGGAGGAGGCGGTGACCCGCGAGGTCAATCGCCAGGTGGGCGACGATAAGAAGGTCACGCGCAAGGAGAAGGACGAGCGCATCCTGTGGAAGAAGAACGAAGTGGCCGACTACGAGGCCACCACCTTCTCCATCTTCTACAACAACGCCATCTATCTGGCCGTGATCATCTTCATCAGCTTCTTCATTCTGAAGAACTCGACGCCATTCATCAACTACATCTTCTCGGTGGGCATCGCCAGCGGTGCCCTGGCGCTCTTCTCCACCAGTGCCCAGACGAATTAATCGCGTCCACATGTCATCCCAAGTTCATGTACTCGTAATGTAAGCCCTTCAAGAGATTTCCTGGGACAGCGGGCTGGTGTCCCCTTTTCATCCAGCCAGCCCAACATCCCGATCGGCATTTTAAGCAGCGCGAGCATAGAAATTTTATAGTATAAACACCAACTTGTTGTCTTTCTTGTAGAAAGCTGATCAACTTCCATTCGCAGATGATTGAATAAATTGTAAAGTTAAATTAATCTCTTTATTACTATCGGGGGAGTTTCAAAACGGAATTTGTAGCACTAGTTTAAGTGTAAATGCAGGATAAGTTCCAGAGTTCTGAGATTAGACAGCCTCCAGGAGCAAGGCAATACCCTGACCACCTCCGATGCAGGCGGATCCAATGCCGTACTTCAGCTTCTTGCGCCTGGAAAAAAGGGAGAATATATTGCAAGATATGATTCTTGATATTGAGTTTCGAAAACTCACTGCAACTCGTGAACTAGGTGGCCAGTGATGCGAGAGCCACTGGCTCCCAGGGGATGTCCCAAAGCAATGGCACCGCCATTTACATTCAGCTTGGACGGATCCAGTTTCAGGGCATCGGCACAAGCCAGGGTCTGGGCGGCAAAGGCTTCGTTGATCTGGAAGTTATAGGGTTAATTTTCGTTTCTAAATGTAAAGCATACGTTTCATTACCTCAATCAGATCAATGTCCTCCAGTTTCTTGCCAGCAACCTTTAGGACATTCTGAATGGCGGGCACTGGGCCAATGCCCATGATCTCTGGCTTAACACCCACAAAAGAGAAGGCCACCAGACGGGCCAGAGGCTTCAGGTTGTACTCCTTGAGGGCCTCCTCTGAGGCCACAATCACAGCGGAGGCACCATCACAGATTCCGGAGGCAGTTCCGGCCGTCACAACGCCGCCCTTCTTGAAGAGCGATGGCAGCTTGTTCAGACCCTCGATGGTGGTCTTGGGACGAGGGTGCTCGTCCACCACGAAGTCCACTTCCTTGCCCTTAACCTTCAGCTTGATGGGTGTGATCTCGGCGTCGAAGGCGCCCTCCTTCTGGCCCTTCTCCCAGTTCTTCTGAGACAGCAGCGAGAATTCGTCGACGCGCTCCCTGGTGATCTTATACTGGTCGGCCAGGTTCTCGGCGGTCAGCGCCATTGGCAGCTTGCAGTAGGTGTCGGTGAGGCCAGCCCACAGGGCGTCCTCCAAGTTGTAGTTGGCGCCCAAGGTGGTGCCGAAGCGCATGTTCCTCGCGATGAACGGACTCTGGGACATGTTCTCCACACCGCCGGTCAGAGCCACCTTAGCACCACCAACCAGGATGTCCTGGGCTCCGTTGACGATGGACTGGAACCCGGAGCCGCACAATCGGTTGATGCCGAGGGCGGGTTTCTCGATGGGCACGCCGCAGTTGAGACCCACATGGCGGGGTACATAAATGCCATCCGTGGATGAGGACTGCAAGGTGTAGGATTGGGAACTCTTACTTTGGGGATACGGCATTCAGTGATTGCAACTTATTAAATACAATACAAAATTATAGAATTTGGTTGGTTCTTTCTTATATAACCAATAATTGTATTTATTGTTTAAATATACATTAATATATTTTGTGGTTTGGATATTATAATATCTGAATACAATTGTTAACTTTTTTAGTTAAAATCTGAGCCAAGTCTTGAGTTCGAGTAAGATTGGGCACTCAAAATCAAACAATCTTTAAAACAATAAAACAATGATGACTGAAGACTGCTAACTAGCCTATGTAAATATGTGTTGTAAAATACATATGTATCTAAAATGGTGAAGTCCTAAAGGTTATGTGTATTAATGTTTTATAGCCAGAAATAAATCCTTTCAACAAATAAGGGATTTTGTCAACTTGTGCTTAATGAAGCTCTCCACTCTATAAAAGGATCTCTAAGGACTAAGACTTTGCCCTACTTACCGCAATCACGTTTCCGACGATGACGGTGTCCACCTGCTCACCCTTCAGACCGGCGGCATCCAGAGCAGCCTTTGCTGCAGTCGTCTGGAGTTGGGTCTGGTTGATGCCCTTCAGGGATCCACCGAAGGTTCCAAAGGCCGTGCGCTTGGCAGCCACAATATAGATACCTTTTATGGGACAGATATGCGGACAGATGTAGAACATATATGTATAATGTGCGTAGGCAAAGAGTGATAGCACGAATTTAGTAAAAAACGAAAGCGGATTTTTGTTTTCGATTCAACAGGTCCAAAGTGCAACCGGCTGAGTGCGGGGGTGGGGGGATTGAGCATCAGATAAGACACCAACAAGTCCAAAGTTCAGACGGCCGTATAAGATCATTTAGCATTAAGCCGCGCCAAGTATTAACATATCCAGATGGATGCACTAAATTACCTTTAGTTGCTGCAGACATTTTGTAATTATTTCACTCTTAATAAAAATGGAAAACAATTTAATACAAGAAAAAGCGACTACCGCGCTGTAATATCACTCGACTTCTGGTCGCGATTCGCCGCCATCGCAGACATATTATTGGATGAAAGCTCAAAAGCTTTTCCGACGCTCCCACAAACTTCAGCTGTATGATACACTGCGCAAAAATGGCTACACTTTCTACCTCGTAACGAGTCGATTTCAATAGTCATGATGAAATCAACGTTTTTAAGCAAATTATCTTTATGAAGGAAAACGTTCAAAGCTAACTGCTCCATGTAATTTAAGAATAGCGTATAACCCTGCTTTTTGGTGTTTTTTTTTAACACCAACGCATTTGTATTACATTTTAATAAATTACTACCTTTCATTAAATCAATCAGCTTTATTTCCAAAGAATTATCCCAATAAATAAAGCAACTGTATTCAGTAAGAAATTTCAAGATCACATCAACAAATCCTGGCCAATCCTTAAGCATGTTGCACATATCAAGTGGTTTCCCTTAAATAAATAATGCGTAAATGCTGCATTTTTAATTAGACTTTATGCTTGGGAAGTAGGACAGAGTGTGAATGGAATACAAATCTCATGGAGGATAATGGGTATCGGGTTATTGTGCAGACGGGGTTACTTAAGCTTTGTATTTATTATAAAATAGTGTGCAATCTTTCTAGGCCTAGGGGGAGTTGGAGATGTCCATGTTGTCCGACTTTTCAACGCTCACCGATTTACGTGACTTCGAATCGGCGCTGGAGCGCGAGCTTTTCACCTCCAAGTCCTCGGAGATGGATTTCAGTTTGCGTGCTTCGGGAGTGCGTGAGCGATCGCGCCGTCGCGATGATTTGGAGGACACGAGGGCCGGGTCCTTGCTGCGACTGGAGCGTGACTTGCTGCTGCTGGTTGCCGGCGGCGGTGAGGGTGAGCTGCGCTTGCTCCTGGACCGGGGTGAACGCGAAGAGTGCTTTTCGCTGCGATGCGACTTCTTGCTGCGCTCACGAGACCGGGAACGCTTGCCGTTTCCACTGGCTCCACCTCCAGCTCCGTGGGAGCGAGAGCTACGCGAGCGGGAGGTGCTGCGACGATGACGGGACCTAGAGCGCTTGCCACGCGATCTTGACGAGCGAGAGTGTTTGCCACCGCGGGAGCGCGATCTCCTGGAACGCGAGGTGCTGCGACGATGCCGGGACCTGGAGCGCTTGCTGCGGGATCGCGATGAGTGCTTTCCCCGCGACCGTGAGCGCCGGGAACGCGACACACTGCGACGCTCCCTGGAGCCAGAGCGCTTTGACCGCCGCCTCGATGTGGAGCGGTGCGATCGAGAGCGACTAGTGCGACGTTCGCGGGAACGAGAACGAGATCGCGACCTACGCCGCTTGTCCTTGGCGAGCATACCGATCACCGGGTCAATGGCGGCGGAGATCATACTCTGCGCCTCCTTTACAATGGTCATGGCCTCCTCAATCTCCGCCTGGGCTGCCTCATTGGACTTGGCCTCCGGCTTGGTTATGGAGTATGTGGAGTGGTAGACGCTCAGGTGGCCGCCCTTGAACTCTTGGCCCTGCATGCGCAGGGCGTGGATAATGCTGGTCTGCTCGCAGAATTCGATCATGCAGTACGTCTTGTTGTCCTTCTCGGCCCAGCGGGCGTACTTCACCTCGCCGGCACGCTGAAAGCAGTCCATTAGGTCGTCCAGACGCCACTCGTTCTTCACGTCGCACACGATTATGGTGCGCCGAATCTCCTCGATCTTGCGAGCATCGTAGAAGGAGGGCAGGGCCGGGTACTCCGGCAGATTGAACTCGACCAACTTGGGGTCATACGTCTTGATCACCTGCTGCGGCAGCTGGCCCTCGATGCGGTTGATGACCTCCGGCGGCAGCTTGGAGTCCGGCTTCTGGAGACCCGGCACAATGGTACCGTTCTTGAGCATCTCCAGGGCCCGGTACTCCTCGGGAATGGCCAGCACCGGGATGACGATCAGGGCGCGATCGATGAACACCGTGTTGGTCAGGTGCTGGGCCACCGGCACACTGGTCGTCTCCGTGTACTTCACGTAGCAGATGCGCGACTGAACCGGACAGGATACGTCCCGGATGGTCGGGTACAGACGGATCTCCTCTATCTTGCCGATGTTGCCGAACAGCGTCTGCATCTGGTCCTTGGTGGCCTGCGGCGCTATGTTGGTCACCTGGATCACACGCGGGGTGTTGCCGCCAGCCATGTTTTTTAGTTTTTCGGTTCGCCCTGGGGTTTGATTCGGTTTATTTGCAATTAAAGTGTTTTCAATTAACCTACAAGAGCAAGCGAAAAAAAGCGAGGGTTGCAACGCGTCGCGAAGTTTCGATTGTCGGGAGAGAGAAAGGCGATAAATCGATTGAATTGGCGCATCTGGCAACGCTGTTCAAATCTAGCTATTTCTACGCCGGTTTTGGCTGTTTTCAAAGAGCACAAGAGGAAATTGGAAAAAAACAGCAATTTCATGTATTAAACCTTATCTCGCCAAAAAAAAAGTCTTAGATAATCTTAAGTAATTCCAGAAATCGTTGAAAGCAGAGTCCTTTCTTTTTCATTTAAAATCAATTGAAACTTTGTAATGTAGTAGTATCGTAGAATGCCATATTTACTATGAAACAAAATAAGGAAGTCTAATTTCAATTGTTCAAAACACACAAAACTTAAAAATAGTTTAGTTAGGAGTGTCAGCTGTTTGACAATTCAAATGCTAAACATTTCTCGCGATTTGATAGATTTTTTTTATGAATTTATTAAGATTAAACCTATATAGCAAGTTATATTACCATTGATGGTAATTTTTTAAATAGGCGGCAAAGTGTGACCGCATTCGCTCGATGGAACAGGGTTTTTGTTGCAGAGCACAACGGCCCCACTACCAGGCACAAATTCACAAATACCACCTCACGATCGTTGGATTTGCAAACAAAATTCGTGAATAAGGACTGACAAATTGCCAGGAAGCGTTTCGCCCTGTTCCACGATGTCGGACAGCCCAGTGGCCGCATCAGCGTCCGCGTCCTCGCCCGCCAAGTCGAGTCTCAGCGACCTGCGACAGTTTCGCATCAACAAGAGTGCCTCCTCTGTCGCCGCAGGTCCTGCGAAAACTGGTACTTTTGAAGAGCTGAAATTCCCACTGGTGTTTGGTGAATTAAATGCCTGTTTTCAGAGCGTGTGCCCGGCAAGAAACGCATCCAGGTGATGGCGGACAGTGACAGTGACGGAAACGACTCTCAGACGCCCAAGAAGACCAAGCTGGAGCTGACCGTCAAGGAGAAAGAGGAGCGCTACATGGCAGCCGCCAAGATTTCGCCACAGTTTGACACAATGGTATGTGTTCCAACGTCCAAGATAAAAAATGGGGGGAAAGGCGGGGAAGCGCGCGTCCATGCGTCTGTTTTTGCGGAACATGGCGATTCGGTTCGGGCCCGGCGTTGCGAACAGCTGTCGGTTGGCCAGGGGCGTCGCTGACGGGGGTGCGAACATCCCTATACCCTCGTGTATAAAAATTCCTTACTTATGTACCTGTTTTACCATTTCTAAGTAACAGCACTACTTTCTTTAAAAAATTGGCCTTTACGTTGAAAGGTTAAGTCCCATTGTTTTTTTAATATAATTTTGAAATTTTTTCTGTTATAATAATTTAAATTCACAAATTTGTAGTTAAAAAATATTTATTTTACAAAAATTAAATTAATTTGTCGGTAATATTTCCATTGATTTTTGAGTTTATAATATAAACATTTTCAATTTGGGTGATATACAAAGTTTTATTTGCTTAACAATTTGACAGATTTTTAATTTAAATTTAAAAGAAATTAAAGGTTTCATAGTACAAATCCATATTCTGAAAATAAATAGATATTCAACTGTAACAAAGTTATAAAGGTTTTTAGTAGGAAAAAGCAATTTTTGAATTTTTTACACACCTTTTAATATTTAACACAAAAAGCGAATTAAATGTAGATTCAAATTTGTTCATAGGCTATTCAAGAGTCACTATCCCGCACTAATTGGGATGTGGCCGCCTCTGTGCGTTACCTACGGGAAAACTGCAAGCCCAAGGGCCAGAATGGCCCGCTGGTCAAGGCCAAGCTAAAGCCCAGCTCAAATGGGACCAGCGGAACCTCCCAAGGCCACTTCTCAGATAACGACCACTCGGACGACGAGGATGTGAAGCAGTCCAAGGATCAGGTGTACGACAGCGATGACAGCGACACCGAGATGTCCACCAAGATGACAGGACAGCGCAAAAAGGTGTTCCAGTTCATGAACGAGGCCACACTCATTGAGCTACAGTCTGTTAAGACGCTGTCCGAAAAGAAAGCATTAGCCATCCTAGAAGTGCGGCCTTTTAGTGATTGGGCCGGGCTACGCAGAAAGCTGGAGAGCATCAGGATGTCGGGTGATCTCCTGAACTACGCCCAAGAGTTGATCAACAAACAGAACACGGTGGCCACCATTCTGAGTAAGTGCAACAACATGGTGTCCCGTTTGGAGAAAGCCATTTCCAATGGTGCCGGCATTGTGGAGCAACCTAAGCTCCTTACCACCGAGTAAGTGCTATCCAGTTTACTCCTTGATTGTACTTTATATAAGTTACTTTCTTCGCTGCCAGCTTACAGCTGGCTGACTACCAGATAATTGGTCTCAACTGGCTCACGGTGATGCACAAACAGGAAATGAATGGCATTTTGGCGGATGAAATGGGTCTGGGCAAGACAATTCAAGTGATTGCATTTCTGGCTTACCTCAAGGAGAATGGTCTCAGCCAGGCGGCCCACTTGATTGTGGTTCCTTCGTCCACGCTGGACAATTGGGAGGCGGAGATCAGCCGCTGGTGCCCCAAACTGGTGGTGGAAAAGTATCACGGCTCGCAGGACGAACGGCGGAGAATGCGCGGCCGTTTTGCTAAAGATGGCTTTACTGGCTTCGATGTTCTTTTGACCACGTGAGTGCTTCAAATGTCACGGAGATTCTAAGCTATAAACTCTACTCACATTTTAATAGTTACCACATTGTTGGATCCACGCCAGAGGAGAGGAAAATGTTCCGTGTTTGCAAGTTGGACTACGTCATCTTCGATGAAGCCCACATGTTGAAGAACATGACCACGCAACGCTATGCCAACCTTATAACTATCAATGCCAGGATGCGCATCCTTCTCACCGGAACTCCGCTGCAGAACAATTTGCTCGAGCTGATCTCCCTGTTGTGTTTCGTGATGCCCAAGTTCTTTGCCAAGAGCATAGAGGACATAAAATCATTGTTCGTCAAGGTGGGAATTACAAAGTAAAAAGCAAACAACATAACTAATCACATTCTCTTTGCAGAAGGGCAAAAGTGATGGCGACCAGGAGGAGGTGTCTCAATTCCAGGAAACACAGATCCAGAGAGCCAAGCGCATCATGAAACCATTTGTACTCAGACGCCTTAAAAAAGATGTCCTTAAGAACTTGCCGAAGAAGCTAAGTCTTGTGGTATGTACGAATGTTTAAGGACAAGCCTTTTAATGAAGAAATAAATTCGATATTTTAATTGCAGGAAAAAGTACCCATGAGCACCCAACAAAAGCACTATTATAAGGAAGTGGTTGAGTATTATTCCAACAACAAGGGTGAGGTTTGCAGTAGCAGTGATCGGGCTGGCATAGCGATCATGATGGAAATGCGACGCATTGCCAACCATCCGCTTTTATGCCGTCACTATTTTACCGACGAGATTCTGCGAGGATTTGCCAAGCGCCTGGCAAGTGCCAGTTCCTACAAGAAGACCAACGAGCAATACATCTTTGAAGAGCTGGCCGTTATGTCGGATTTTCAGGTCTATCAGATGTGCAACAAGCATGTGAGTTCCTGCCAGAGTGTAAGCTAATTGAAAATAGCTAAATTGCTACGTTTTCCAGGAGTTTTACGACGTGAAAATACCCGACAAGTTGATCTGCGATTCCGGGAAGTTTGCATACCTAGATACACTACTTCCGAAGTTGAAGGAAGAGGGACATCGTGTTCTGCTCTTCAGTCAGTTCACCATGATGCTGGACATTGTGGAGGAGTATCTGCGGGTACGAAAGTTCGGTTTCTGCCGCCTGGACGGAGCGACCGCCGTAAATGTGCGCCAGGACTTGATCACCGACTTCAATGGGGACGACAGCATTTTCGTGTTCCTGCTCTCCACCAAAGCCGGTGGCGTTGGCATCAACCTGACGGCTGCCGACACCTGCATCATTCACGACATCGACTTCAATCCGTACAACGATAAGCAGGCCGAGGATCGGTGTCACCGCATGGGACAGCAGCGTCCGGTGACCATTTATCGACTCATATCCGAGAGTACCATCGAGGAGGGCATCCTGATGGCCGCCGAAGAGAAGCTAAAGCTAGAAAAGGACATTACGTCCAATGAGAAGGGCGAGGTGCATGAGCAGCGGTGTGTGGTCAAGCTGCTGACCACAGCCCTTGGATTGGACAAGGATCAGGAGGAGCAGTTAAACAACTCTCTGAACAACTCCATAGCCTCGCCCGCCAAGTAGGCATCCTCGTTGTCGTCGTTCTCCTTCTCGTCCTTGTCCCCACCTCCGTATTTATTCTCGCCAGCATTGGAACAAGATGGCCTGAGCCTCCAACCGCTGCCTAATTGTGTTGAAATCTTTTGAGTAATTTTACCGATCAATATTGTATTTATACCCATATTTTACTTGAACTTGTGTGCAAGGAACGTGAGAAGTGGCGAGGGTTAGCCAAAAGTGGATCATAAATTGAGTTAGAATTTTATCAGCGATAGGATGTCATCTGTTTTCCCTAGTATCAAAAACATTTCCACGACGAACCAAGGCAGACAAGTTTACTTTCTTGTTTAATTGATTTGTCATCTTGCATAGTTGTCCCTTCTGTAAGCGTTTATGTATCGAATTGAAACTCTTGTTATAAGGATAAAGAACATTTGTGTACGAAGGCGATCTTGTTATATGTTTCTATTTGCTGTTCGGGTAACTCGACAACCCTCAGTGGGATGTGATGGCTCTCGCATTTTCCCACCACTTTAGTTCGTTTGTGTGCTGCAAAGAGAACCGAAGAATCGAACCGAAAACCGAGAGAGCACAACTGTTTGGAAGAGCTTTCGGCTGCGATCGCGACGGGGCGATTCATCAAGTCTTTAGTCTTCAACTGATCGCTCGCGCCGATGATTTAATTTTTAAGTTAAAGCCTGCGCCCAGTGTAGCAGCCAGCAGCGTTACTCACATCCTCACATACGTGCGAAAATACATGCCTACATAATACGGCGTACATCGATAAATAGATATACCCCGCAGATATAGTGTCTCGATCGAACAGCAACGAACCCATGAAAACCTGAAGTAAAACTAAAACCCGAGACGTCGCAGCTCCGAGTTCTATAATTTAATAGTAATTATTTAATCGAATCCCAAACCCGATCCTTTATATTTTCCTATAAAACGATTTGGGAGCTGAGTCCGCACCGCCATTATGTGATTCATGCCGTGTACATAAGTTTCCTCCCCGAATTCTTTCTTGAGTTCTATTTAAAAATAGACAAACAGTTTGCGAGCGGAAATCATATTGCCGCGGCGGTCACTGAAATGCTAAATAAATCAGACCAATAATATGAAATAGAGTATATATTTTTTTTTGTCTTGTTTTTGCCCCATCCGTTGTTATTGTTTTTGACTGGCGGAAACGGAAGCAAACGCCAACTGCATGTAGGTTTATAGATATATCTACATAGTGCTGCGATACAGTCATCATTCGCAGCACTGTCATATACTATAAATATAGATGCGGCGGCACATGTGAACAATTTTTGGCAATTGCCAAAGTATACGGCGCACAAGTCGGGGGAAAACAAACAGCGCGTGCAGGCTAAACATGAAACAAATATAAATATAAATAAGAATTAATAATCCCCCTACTTTGGCGATGTATGCGTGTAGTGAGCGTATGTGTTAGTTGTGAGTAATCCGAACAATAAAACTATTTAGCGAGCGATCTGCATTAAGAGAGAGTGAAAAATCACACAAAAAGAAAACGAACGAAAATAAAGCGAACAAAAACTAAACGGAATTGTAATTGTAATTGTATTAATTGACGAGCACAACGAGCCGAGAACAAGCAGCACAAAGCGACAAACCAAAAATAGACGATACCAACGGTGCGTATACTTAACGAGACACCCGCTCATTGACTCATCGCGCCCTCTCGCTCGCACAGCAGCCACAACAACAGCACTACAATCAATTGTGATCACTGTGCGTATACGTATGCGTGTATCTGTGTATCTGTGTGCCTGTGCATTTGTATCTGTATCTGGAAGCCCGCAAATCCATAACCATCTAGTATTCCTGCCCATTCGGAATATTGGGGCGTGGAGGGTCGCTTTGAAATATTAATTATTTTTTGGCACCGCTTATGGCTCGACTTGGCGCATGCCAAGCATTATTAAACGAGACACGAAAGAGCGTATCTACGAAGTAGATAAATATCTTTATACGAACAACTAAGCTGCAGCACCACTAGCAATCGAATCGACGAATAGCAACGCACAAACAAACAAACCCATCTATATACTTTATATAGAGAGAGATAAACAAAGCTCAAGCAGCAGCAACAACGAAACAATTTGGAAGAAACACTTTTGCACTAAAAGGTGAGTATCCACATCCACTGGCTGATTCATAAATCCATGCCCAGCTCAAGCCGAACACTCTGTTTGCTAATCTTGGAATAGACTGTCGAGCAATTAACGAGGCAAGTTCACATAGTTGAGGCTGTAGTCATTTACGGTCGAACTACCTTATGTGGGACTCTTCTTGGCCTTAAGTCCTAAGGAATTAAACAAAACTTTAAGTGTTTTACAAAAATATTATTAATACTTTTAAATCAAAAGACAGAATTTAAATATGTAAATTATTATGTTTTTAAATACCAACTACAATTAGCTGCCTATTTACAAGCAACAAAACATTTTGTAGTATTTGATGAAATCATAAAAGAAAAAACTTAATATTTTAGTTAGTTAGTTTCAAAAGTTTCAAGTCTAAGAGGTACAACTGTACCAAGTGGTGTGTATCTTTCGCGAAGAATCGCTCCGGATTCCTTGTGGGTCGCTGAAAAAGAATTACTCGGAGGCTGATGTCATGATCGGAGACGAAGTGCTCCAGCCAGAGGCCCCCGAAGCCAGATGCAACTCCTACGCTCGTCCACAAAGCCGGTTGCTCGAAGAGATCAAGTAGTAGTGTGCCTCCCTCTCGAATCTTGGGCAAACAGTTTTTGTGTATCTTTACTTGATATATGAGTAGGTGAACGGGTTATGGGTTTGGCTCAGGGCTAAAGTTTTGGTTTCTCACACACAGATACTTTTTATTGCATTGCAGACCCAGCAATCTGAATCTGCAAAAAGGGAAACATATCCCTCACATCGTATTAAGAAGAGAACTCAACTCGACAGAGGAAGTAAGGAAAAGAAGGAACGGAAACCAACTATTGTGATATGTACAAATTTACTCAAATACTGAAGCCGCATATATAGAAGTTTATTCCACGGAATCCCAATTGTAAACCGATTAACCGGAGGACAATCCACCAAAGATTAGGCTTTCATCTTCAATTAAGTTTACCCAATTAGAGCAGAGGCAGTACTCGAAAGTACTCGCGAGATGGCCGAGAAAGTCGAACAAGCCCAGGCCAGTCTGAATGGCCAACAGAATGATCCGCGAAAGGTGCGCAAGTCACCTGAATTTCAGCCCATGATGCCCGGCGTTATCTCCCGGGAACGCAGCTTTGTGCGCACCTCGAATCAACAGGTGAGTTGTCGCCACCGTATACCGTATCGTATCGATAACCAAAAGTTACCATATTTCCGTATGCGATTTCAGAATATCAACAAACGACGAAGTCTGGCTTTCAATGTACCTGGCAATCAGACGGGACAGATGAGGGGCAAACCCGCCATGGATATATACAGGCCGCCAAGTGAGTTGTTTTAGTCATTCCCTAGAAATTCTCCTCTTCGCTTGGCTGCTTGGCGGGGTGCTCCGTGCTGTAGAATCACAATTGTCAGCTGTATTGGCTTTCGATCGACTTTATTTCTCTGATAGTTTTTAAATACGCATTTTGTGATCATCGTGATTTGATCTCATAAATCTGATAAATAAGTTGTAGATGAATGCATTTAACTCAGGAAGGTGACTACGCTACTTAACTACCAATAATATATATCCAATTTTGGATACTACAAAGTGAATTCATAATGCTGTTTTGGGATGCTGATATATGGTAGAACAAGAGGCCTAAATTTATAATCAACGAAAACGGAAGCTTATTTCGGCAAGCCGAAGTTTTAATACCCTTTCAGGCTTTGTTGAAATTGCTAAAATTGCAAAAGTAGCGAGAAGAATAACAAAAGTGTAACAATTATTCCTATGGAAGCTATAAGATATAGACGTCTGATCGGTACGTCCCTTAACCCAGATTAAGGTATGCATAAAAAAAAAAGATTTGGAAAGATTTTTCTCAATAGCTTATATACTGCGAGAAATATCCTGAAAAACATCCAATTTGTATCGATTTCCCCCCATTATTCCTATGGAAGCTATAAGATATAGACGTCTGATCGGTACGTCCTTTTACCCTGATCAAGGACGCATTTAAAAATAAGATTTGGAAAGATTCATGTCAATAGCTTTATACTGCGCGAAATATCTTCAATTCTTGCAAGTTATATCCAATTGTCCCTATATAGGATATAGACGTCCGATCGGGGCACTTTTCAAATTTTATCTGTGAAAGTTAAAAGTAAAAGTTTCAAATCGCTATCTTTTAAACTAAGCTCGCAAACGGTATTGAAACAGACAGACAGACGGACATGGCTATATCAACTGCCCTATTAATCCTGATCATAATCTTCTGACCAAAATTATAGTATCCTCTGCAAGGGTATACAAATTAACACTCCAAGACTTGTAGCATAATTTTTGATCTTATCTCAGTTGAGGATGACTTTCAGCCAGCTCAGCTTTGGTTGCTCTGTTTTGTTCGCTTCAAGCTTATCAGTTTCAACGATTACTTACTGAGACCACATTTTTCTTTTGATTCTTTTCATATCTCTGTCTCATACCCTGTCCATTCCGCCCCGCCCCCCTCCACACAATGTTGTCCTGTCCCCCAACCTCATCACATACACTCTTGGGCACCTCGACCCACCCCACCCCCCAAAAAAAAAAAAAAAAAACACACACCTTAATGACTCTGTCTCAGATGTGCGCGGAGAGCTGGCCGCTCCAGCCGTTGGTGGCGGCGGCGGTGGTGATGGTGATGGTGGTGATGGTGGTGCAAGTGGTGCCAATGCCAACAGGCTGAACGTCAATGCCCAGGAGTTCACAATGACCAGCAGCTCCGGGGCACCGGCCGAGGCACTCAGCAATCGGTAAAGCAAAGTCTTTTAATGCCATTGTTTACCCCTCTTCCCGTCTCCTTGCAGAGCTAAACTACAGTATACAACATTCTTCCAGTTCGTCGCTGATCTTTCCGCCCACCAATGGACCCGGAGTTGTTCCGTCTATGGGTCAGTACGGGAACGTGAATCGTCGCCAGGCCGGACTCTCCCTCGGCAGCATGCCGGGATTGAAGGCCAACCAGCATCGCTCGATCTTGGTGACGCATCCAATCAGTGCCAGTTCCCTCGGCGGACAGCTGCCGCTCATGAACTCGCCCTCCAGTGGCAATATACTGCACGTAAGCGCTACTCAAAGTTTATAAAACGAACCGTTAAAATTTAAATTTTAAATTTAACAATGTCTAAAAAATATTTGGATAAAAATGTCAAATAAAAGGCGAATCATAACATAAATTCTATTGCAATTAAAATACTCAAAGTTAATAACCAAACAAATCGCATTAAAACATTAAATATAACAATGTCTTAAAAATAGTTGGATAAAGCTGCCAAATAAAATGCGATTCATAAATACCATTGCCATTAAAGTAGTATTTATGAGTAGTTCATAACTTATTTAATGCTTACTTAAAATAGTAATATAGTGCATGATAAAAAAATACCACTTTAAATAAATAAATAGTATTGAAATTAAAGTAGTATTAACAAGTACTGCATAACTTATTTAGTGCTTACATAAAATAGTTATATAGCTGATGATAAAAAAAAGTCCAACTTTGAAATTACTTTAGCCTTTATGAAATCTTTTAAAACAAAATTTTGATATTGGTTGAATTAAAATTGTCAATTATCGTATAAAACAACATTGTTTAATCATTTAAAATAGATTCATTAATAAATAAATTGTTCTCACAAAGAACTCAGATTTAACTTTATCTTATATTTTTTAAAATGTATTTTATTTTTATCAAAACTAAACAGTTTTCTAATTTCATTGCAGACCACAAACCGTGTAAAGTTTGCTCCCGAGCCCAGAGGTCACAAAGTGGCCAACCATAATCAGTTTGGCCAGCTGAACAACAACAACTATGGACAGCCCTACCAAGCAAATCTGAATGGAATCGATCCGTACATGAATGGAAATTCGCTGCAACGCTCCAAATCTTTGTCGTCGGCGGATGCCCTGACTAGGGGCATGGCCGGATTGGGTTTGGGTTTGGGCAACGAGGTGGCCGACATTGGACAGTTCACGCCAGAGATCCAGGCGCTGATTGAGACGGCTCTGGAGGATCCGAACAAACTGAACTCGCGCTGCCTGATGGAACTCACTTCGCAGTTCATCAAGCGAGCGGTGGAGAGTCGCCGCTTCGCCCTGCCAATCTCACGGCTGTGTCTGAACATCATCGCCCGGGAACAGAAGGAGACGTTTCTGGAGGCACTGCTCAACACATGCCGCCAGTGGTACCAGGAGCGCGAAAAGGTAAGTGACTTTGCATAATATAATATATAAATAAATGAAGCATTGCATTAATATTTGTACCAATTTTACTAGCTGCTATTTGCCATCCAGGGAATGAAGTCGCCATCCCGGGTGCGTTTCACCGCCTTCATGGCCTTCCTCACGGAGATGTTTTGCCAACTGAAGCGCCGGCAGCTACAACTGCGCACCACCCACCACGAGGGCACTCCTCCGCCATTGGTGCTGCTTAGTTTGCTGTCCAAGTGCTGCGAGGATTGCGTGCGCCCACCCATAAGATCTCTTTCAGAGGTGCCTTTGGATTTTATTGTTTATTGTATTTTGATTGGCTGACTGGTAACAAAATGTACTTACAGATCGAGTGCCTGTTCTATGTGCTTACCTGCATTGGCCAGGACATGGAGCAGCAGTTGCCCCAGCAGCTGGAGTTGCTCATGGGTCTTGTGCGCGATGCCTTCCTCAATGCCGGAGAATCGGCGGCGTCCATTCGGCGCACTCTTCTGCAGCTCATCGAGCTCAAGGCCTCCCACTGGCAGCTGCCTGGCAATACGGTCCTCTACTACACCCACACTAACAATTAGGCCCGGAAAACGGGCAAGTAACCCGAACTGAGCCGAGAACTGGGACCAAGACGGGATTCGAGCACTGTGCAATCATCGAGACACCATCAGATTCTGTTGTCGCATTGCATTTAGGGCCTGGATAACTTCTGTTCTATAATATCTTATCGTACTCTTACCTAGGCATAAGCAATATTTATTTCGCCGGCAGCAGCAATAGAGAGAAACTAACCCGAGACTTGCACACCACACACACACACACACACCAAGCCCAGTACCAAATGAGATCGACCGATTCGATTCGGTATCTTCGGACTCCGCTTTAATCTAAGGCTCAACTTTTATGTGAATCCATATATTTATGTGTAATAAAACACAGCTAGTCAAAATGTGGACAAATCGTTTTTTTCTGCAGCCGATTTGTGTGTACTACAAGAAACTACTTTTACTTTTCTCTCTCCGCAAAGAAAAATCTAAAACGGTGAACTATCGAAAAAATTTATTTTCATAACGAACAAGCTAGTGTAAAGACAAAATATATTCTATTTCAAATGCACAAATCTTATCTTTTATTTATGCTGCTTAATTACAGACCTGTTTTGAACTTATGTATTTTAGGTATTTCCAATACAATGACCTACAATTTTTAAAAATATCAAAAACAAATTGGCAGATTTGTGAAAAATATTGTTGCTTTTTGAGTAAATAAATTGTCGTTTTCTTAAGGCCAAATTAAAAACTTTTAACCAATTTAAAACTTGTTAGGTCTTTGTACAGTAAATATATTATAAAACACTCACTTAAGTTTGAAGTTTATTGGTTCAATTTCTTGATGAGTTATGATGTCAGCAATTTTGATAAATGTCGTTTCAAGAAAAACGCGTTTAAAGAATCAAATGAAGCTGTTTGTACCTTTGAGCGACCTCCCTTTAAACCGCTGTCGCTCATAAACTATTTAAAATTCCTATTTGCCGCTTTTACTGGATAAAAAAAATTAATTTTTTTAAAGTGACAATTTTGAAATTTTCTTGCGTCCCAACTCAGCCACGGAATCTGCCCAAAAATATTCTAATTAATTAAATAATCCTAATTCCTAATTTGGCTCTTAAGATTACCTTATAATATAGTTTCGTAATTTTACATCACTTGAGTTGTTACATGAGTGTTGTCAAAAATCGAAATGTATAATTGCAGAAATGTAGAATGTTAACAGAGGGTATATAAGGTATTTTGCTAACATCGATCCAAGTTCTCAACCAGTCAACCCTATCTCCGAACCAGGGCTGTGTCCGCGGTGCAGGGTAAAAAATAGTACGTTTCGAGAGTTTTGGTGCACATTAATACGCAAGTGACTCGGCCATTTCGTTTTTGTCTTCACCCCAATAAAGTTGATAGACCTACAAGTAAGATTTTGCGAGTGTAATTTTAAGGGAATTAATTGGTGTAAAAGTGAAGTAAATATGCTGTTGCACAGCCTGAGCCCTCCGAAATGTTATTACCTTATTTAAAGATGGAAATTAAACGTGATGGAGTGTATTTTCAAAAAAATCAATTCTTGCTCTGTGGGCACCACGTGTTCCAAAATGGCGACGGGAGTACAAGTTTTAAAGGCGAATGATGAATACCTTAAATACCTTTTGCGGTTTCCACCAGAAGGCTGCGGCCTAAAGATGGGCTAAGGCGTCTGACTTCGAACAGTGACAACTGGGGATTGGGGATCGGTGATTGGCCAAAAAATTCAAATGCAAAACTAACCTATTTTATGGTGACTTCTTTCAGAATGGCGGACGCAGCTCCAGCCCGTAGTGGATTCCGTGGCGGATTTGGCTCTCGTGGTGGTCGTGGTGGACGCGGTCGTGGCCGTGGACGCGGCGCCCGCGGACGTGGCGGCAAGGAGGACTCCAAGGAGTGGGTGCCAGTCACCAAACTGGGACGCCTGGTGCGCGAGGGAAAGATCAAGTCCTTGGAGGAGATCTACCTGTACTCGTTGCCCATCAAAGAGTTCGAGATCATCGACTTCTTCCTGGGCTCCTCGCTGAAGGACGAAGTGCTGAAGATCATGCCCGTCCAGAAGCAGACGCGTGCCGGTCAGCGCACCCGTTTCAAGGCCTTCGTCGCCATCGGCGACAACAACGGCCACATCGGCCTGGGTGTCAAGTGCAGCAAGGAAGTGGCCACCGCCATCCGCGGAGCCATCATCTTGGCCAAGCTGTCCGTGGTGCCCGTGCGCCGTGGCTACTGGGGCAACAAGATCGGCAAGCCCCACACCGTGCCCTGCAAGGTCACCGGCAAGTGCGGCTCCGTCTCCGTGCGCCTCATCCCCGCCCCCCGTGGTACCGGCATCGTCTCGGCCCCCGTGCCCAAGAAGCTGCTGACCATGGCTGGCATTGAGGATTGCTACACCTCGGCCCGTGGCTCCACTGGAACCCTTGGAAACTTCGCCAAGGCCACCTATGCCGCCATCGCCAAGACGTACGCCTACTTGACCCCCGATCTGTGGAAGGAGATGCCCCTGGGCTCCACCCCCTACCATGCCTACTCGGACTTCCTGTCCAAGCCCACTCCTCGTCTGCACGCCGAAGCTTAAATGACCACCGTCGAGGCCAAGCAATCCAGAGTTTTTGAATAAAGTCATTAACCTCTAATATAAATGCTTACTCTTTGTTATTAATATGGGACTTTGACAAAAGCTTAATTTTCTTGTTTTCATTAAAATGTAAATGGAATGTGCTTGTCCAAGTATTTTGTATGTTCTCTCAAAAATGCTGTTTCTAATTTGTGTACCTTTGCTAAGCTTAAGAAGTTTTTAACGCAGCTATGGAGATATTCATTCTGTGAATCCGCTTAGACATATGTATCTTTGAATACCAATTTGATTGTCTCAATTTTAAAGTCTATTCTCCCATAATATTTGCATTTGTCAATCACTTAAACTACTATGAAAACCCAGCCCACCCTTCAAATAATTTAAAACTCGTATGCGGCTTAAGTTAAATTTATATTTAAAACATTACACTTAGGATATATGACCCAAAACTGTCTACGCCTTCACTCCGTACGCCTCCGGCATCCTTTCGATGGCGTACTTGTGCGCCGCCACGTACATGATGGGCACACCCGGAATCTTGCGGATGCGGTTCTTCAGGTCCTTGTCGTTGGTGGCCACGATGTAACACTTGTGCTGGCGCACACGCTCCACCAGGCAGTCGTCCGCGTAGGTGCCCTTGTGCAGGCAGGGCAAGCGCTCGAACCGCGGATCGGAGATGATGCGCAGGGCCAGCTTGTACTTGTTGCCCAGCTTCTCCAGCTCGGCGCGCACGCAGTCAGAGATGTAGGGTATGCACTTGGCGTACAGGCAGTCCATCATTCCCTGCACGATGTCCAGTTTGTTCTTGATGCTGAAATTGATGAAGTTCGTGTCCAGGACGATGTGGTACGGTGGTCCCAGCTGCGTATTGTACTGGAAGAACAAGGCGGAGCTCTGCTGGGTGGCCTCGTGCAGCTTCACCTTGTGCGGATCCTCGGGCTTCTTTCTCTTTACCCGAATCTTATCCTTGATGCGGGCATCCGTGGGCTTCATCAGGCGTTTCAGTTGCGCATTGCGCTGCTTCTTCACCTTCTGCGTTTTCTTGTGCTTTCCCTGTAATATAAGAATAGGTATTAGGACTCGAAAACAAAAGTATCCAAAAGGATAGTTACCATTGTGAGGTTTAATTTCTGAAAAATGTAAACAATTTAAACACACGTGCGGTAATTATTTTGGAGATCAGCTGGGAACAGCGATGGTCTGATTTGGCCTTATCGATACCCATCGATAACAAGTAAATATCGTTTAAAATCAATAAATTGTATTTGGCTGAACAGCATAAATTAAAAGTATGTATACTAGAATTGAGTATTATTTATTAAGTTGGGTTTAGTTTATTGGACTTTATTTTGAACATTCGTTTTGATTTAAACATAGATGATTTAATAAGACCATCGCTCTATCGACTACATATAGTTAGTTGTTACATGTAGTTCTGTTGTTAATAATTATACCTTTTTTTTATTAAATAAAAAATATACATATGTTAATATTGTGACAACAACGACATTATATAAATGGTTTAATTAACTTAACATTATTTAAAGCAAACTATTGTTTTTAAGCAGGAAACAATAATAATGATAACATAATAAATATATAAGAAAAATTAATTTCAGTGTTTTTCCGATACGATATTTACATGGTTGCATGTCAACCTATCGATAGTTCGCCGCCATTTTTATATATACTTTTCCTTCCACGTGCATATACGGATGTCGTTCACTTTTATCAAAAACTCAAAGGAAATGGTAAGTCCGCTCGAGAGCTCTAAGATTTTTAACTAAAATAAATTCAAAGTGATTTAAATAAAAGCAAGTGTTATGCCTCAAAGTGATGAAACTGATGACGAGACTGAAGGGACATTTTCTCGACTTTGCATTGTATCTTTCAGTGTATTGTTGAACTATATTTGTTCATTTAAGATGAATCGGCAATCTGATGGCATTCCACATTTAAACTATTTTGTTAACTAAACTTTGGCTATAATGTGTGCTAATGATTATCTCTTTCTTACAGTGACAAATAGTGGAAGGCGTGACCAGTTGGTTAAATTGAATTTAATAGTGCCATGTGCACATGAGACACCTCGGGACAGCATGTGAGGTCTTTGAGACTCCTCGGGCCATGAGCCCTCAAGAGCAGTCATTATGCATTACACACACACAAAGAAGTGCGAGCATGTTATAGTATGTGACACTTCTGATGTTAGAGGTAAGATATATTTTATTAATTAATTATTATTAGTTAGTGCTGTTGTGATGAGCTTTTACACAGACCTGTACCAAGATCTAGACTCGTGTGGAAAATTGTAAACTGACAGATAAAGAAAAGAATATTTAAATATTACAACTTACGAATGTTAATTAATTAATCATGTTTCTTTTGTTATAGGCAAGTCCGATGCCATGATGTCTGGTTTCTTATAGTTGAGAAAACGAAAAAGGTAAGCATAAAGTATAACCAGCAGAATCTCAAGTGATGATCTTTTACACAGACCTGTACTGAGTTTAAAACCCATGCGGAAAGTTGTAAACTGATTTCATATAGGACCCATATATTTTTTCGTATTACAATTTTTGGCGCTTATACTTACAGTGCAATTATTTTACTTTCAGTTTTTACCGGCCGGATTGAGGTTATGTGGAATTCTGGTTGCATCGAGCACATGGACATTCCTCAGAAAGGTAATTTATTTAACCCTTAATACATATTTGTGCACTTAAATGCCACTATAGTAAAATGTTCTGATGATTACTTCAAATACCTTTTGCGGTTTCCACCAGAAGGCTTCGGCCTAAAGATGGTTTTTGGCGTCTGACAAAAACATTTACCAGAATTTCTGAGTTCAACCTTATTTCTTGCAAGTACTAATAATAATTCTCTTATTTTCAGAATATCTAAGGCAAACGGCACTTGAACTATCAAGATTGACTAGAGTTGTTAACTTTAACATTATTTAAAAGGTAATATATTACAAAGTGGTTTTTTTTTTTGGAAAGCGATTAAATGATGATTACCTTAAACACCTTTTGCGGTTTCCACCAGAAAGCTTCGGCTTAAGGATGGTCTAAGGCGTCTGATCGCTTCTTTTAAGAAATGCGTTTTCTACCTAATTAGTTAAAAAATGCTAAAATTTTAATTTACTTTTATTTCAGGTTGACGACCAGAGACGTCTATTCAAACAATTTGTTGAATAGCTTGCCTACACTTTGAAATAAATAAAATAATGCTTATACTTGTATATATCTGAATTATAAATTTTTGATTTATGGAGGGGTTGTGGCTTGTATGGAAACCAAGTGTTTCTTAAATAATACATTTTGTGGCGCTTAGTTAAAAAAACAAAACATTTTTAAACTGTTGATGTAACTAAAATGTCTGTAGATGTTTTTTTTACGGGATGTAACCCATAAACTATTTTTTCACCATAGTTTGGTTTAGGGAGCACTTAGCGAAAGTAAGCTAATAAAAAAATAAACAATGCCATTTAAAGAGATTTTGTTGAAGGTAACAAATAAAGTTTTTAGTTTGACGTTTTTTAAAATGGTGAAAATGTATATGCATACATAAATAATTTGTAAAGGGTTTAAATTAAAATATAATACATTCAAATTTACGCGCCCAACTTTCATCCCTATTGAACACCCCCAACTTCCGATACCGATAACATGGAAAATGAGACGCGCCGGTTTAATCAAACCGCTGTTGCGTATAAATAAGAACAAATCACGAGTCTGGACAGAAAACTACGCAACCCAAGTGGACACAAACTTGGCCGAGTGTTCGCTGGACCCCAAGGAGTACGTGGACTTCAAGCGGCAACTGCGGCAGCTCAACTTGCCCCACAAAGATGGGCACACGTGCTTGCAGCTGGAGTGCCGCCTGTGCGAACGCAACAGGCAGCCGGCGACAAACGCCCAGAAAGGCGTGGACCAAGGGCTCTTGGCTTACGTAAACAAGCGGACGGGTGAGTATACCTAGTAGTAATTCTAAGCAAATCCATTATTATTATCCTTTGTCCCATCAGGAGCCGTCATATGCCCCAGTTGCGATGTGAAAACCTCACTGGCCAATGCCTTATTGGCCTATCAGTTGCCAACGCCGGTTGGCTATAGGCGCCCCCCGCAAAGTCAGCCTCATTATGAATCCCGATTTCCCCATCTCGTCGATGTGGCCGCCGAAGCCTGCGAAGCTCTAGGCATCAAGGGCTTGAAGGAGGACCAACTAAATGCCATTGGAGCACAATGGGAACCGGAGCAGCAGCTGCTCCACTTCAGATTACGCAATGCCGCGCAACAAGTTGTGGGCGAGAAGGTATTGCATGTGGCCGATCGCCGGGAGGAGACCTTCCAGGGCAGTTCGACCTCAGGACTGCTCATCCATGGCGGTGGGAACAAGTCCAAGGCAGTTCTAGTCAGCAATCTACTGGACTTTATCGTCCTCGCCACGCAGAACATCGAGTCGCGTAAGTAATATCTAATTAAATTTTAGGTAACAAATATCTATTTTAAGCAGCTTTTCAAATTTAAAAATAATATGTTTACTTACCCATCTCATAGGATAACACCAGTGTACACCAGTGTACAGTGTAGCAGCTATGATACAAATAGTCTTTACATCCACTTCTTAGTGCATTTACAAATTGTTTATATCCATTCGCTCTTCAGATTGCACAGTTTGCCTGCCTTACGAGTTGAAGACGCTGCCGCAGGAGTGCCTTCCTGGCCTGGAGCGCTTCAAGGAGCTAGTGTTTTGGCTGCACTACGATGCCAGTCACAGCTGGGATGCAGCGCGCGCATTTGCACTAAAGATGGACGAAAAGCGGTGTCTGCTGATCCGACCAACTGAAACAGAACCGGCGCCACACCTGGCACTCCGTCGTCGCCTCAATCTGCGCCACATCCTGGCCAAAGCGACGCCAGTGCGGCACAAGGCCATCACCACGTTTGGAGCGATGCGGAATGACATCCTCAGCGAGTTGCAGAACATCGAGAAGGTGAATGGCGTGAAGTGGAAGCGCTTTCCGGTTCTGAACAAGCTGCTCAAGGGCCATCGGAGGGGTGAGTTGACCATCCTAACTGGACCCACGGGCAGCGGAAAGACGACCTTCATGAGCGAGTACTCCCTCGACCTAGCCATGCAGGGTGTAAGCACGCTGTGGGGATCCTTCGAGATTCGCAACACCCGGCTAGCGGCCACCCTGCTGCGCCAGTATGTGGGTTACCCGTTGGACGATCGGCTGCAGGAGTTTAACCACTGGGCTGGGGAGTTCGAGCGGCTGCCGCTCTACTTCATGACCTTCCACGGGCAGCAGCCGCTTAAGCCGGTGCTGGAGGCCATCGAGCATGCATCCTATGTGCACGACGTGATGCACGTGATCATCGACAACCTGCAGTTCATGATGGGCGTGTCCTCGCATCGGGGCGACAAGTTCTGGGAGCAGGACTCCATAATAGCAGCCTTTCGCGCCTTCGCAACCAAGCACAACGTGCACGTGACGCTGGTCATGCATCCGCGCAAGGAGCGGCAGGAGGACGAGTTGACCACCAGTTCGGTTTTCGGAACCGCGAAGGCCACTCAAGAGGCGGACAACGTGCTGATCATCCAGGACAAAAGGCTGACGTCTGTGAGGGGCAAAAAGTATCTGCAGATAGCCAAGAATCGATATTCCGGTGACCTGGGCATCATGCCGCTGGAATTCGAAAAGGATGCATTGAGCTACTCCTCCCAGGCCCAGAGTGCCAAGCGAAAGCGGGAAAAGACGCCCTCCGAGACTTGACTAGTTTAGGCATTTGTTGTACTATACGATATAATTATTCTGTTGTCTATGGCTAGGCTAGGCTTAAGTGAATCCCCCAATAGACCGCATCACGTTGAGCTCTGCTTGTAGTTCTTGGTGTTCATGATCTTCTTGCCGCACATGGCGCAGATGGCCTTTTTGTAGGCACACGCCTGGCAATAGTGGGCGCCCATCTGATGCACTTTCTGCCGGCAGATCCTGAAATGGGAAAAAACTAGGTTTTAAGATGTTTTTGGTGGCTTTTCGAGGAGCTCTTCTCACCGGCAAGGCGCCAAAGCTGTGCCTATCGGATTGTATCGTTCGCGGGCCGAGGATAATGCCTTGTTTTCGTTGATTTTTCGCCCCCCAGCGGGAGCTGTGCTTGTTCTCCAGGGATTTGGGGCCGAAACTTTGGACAACTTGGCCTCGCACTTCTCACAAACCATTTTTCTTATCAATCTTGTTTTTTATTTACGTTTACGAAAGCAGTGTTACCCCAAGCTGTAAAGGTAAAATGTTATTGTTATCGATAACAACATCTATCGATCTAATCAGTGCTGTTATTATTTCAGTGCAATTCGATCTAAGCACATTTTTTAAATTATTGAATTCTAATTTGCAATTAAGTGAATCTTAAAATTATCCTTTATTTTATGTTGAATAAGATAATATCGGAATTATTTAGTAAATAAAATAATATAAAACATTTAACAATCTCTTCACTGTTAAAATTTGTAATGGTAGAAGGAATATCCTTAATATCTTATCGGCGGCTCTAATTTGTATCGAAATATGTGCTCGTGTTATCGACCATCTCAATTGCAAATTTGGGCAAATCACGCAAAATGACGACGGAAAAGGGCGACCAACTGCGGTAAATTACAATAAATACATATTCAATCAGGCGTAATTTGAATGCCCCTTTGTCTGGCAGGCAACAACTAATAGCGGCGGTGGTGAAGAAGCGAGCGGCGATTGCGCGGGCTCATGAAATCGTGGTGCGGCTTTTGGAGCCCGGAATACCGGAGCCCGAGTTCCTGTCCATGGTAAAATAATGCAAATCAAAAGCTACATAAAGGCATTGAGTATTTCCTGTCCTTGCAGCTATGGGAGATTGGCCCCCCAAATTATTCAGACATCGTAGATGAGCGAGAAATAAACAAACTGTGTGGATATCCGCCGTGTTCCAGCGTTCTAGAAAAGTGAGTGGTAATATTCAAACCGAAAGGTCTTCTATACCAACTATTCCATTTAGTATTCCCAAGCAAAAATACAGCATTAGTGCTTCCAAAAACAAGGTTTACGACCTGACCGAGCGCAAGAAATTCTGTTCTGGATATTGTTTTAAGGCCTCCGAGTACATTAAGTCCCAGGTGCCCACATCACCATTGTGGCTGCGAGATCGGGAGACGAGACCCAGCTTTCAGCTGCTGCCTCGAGGTACGTGACCACCGGTATACATGGCTCTCAAAGCGTTTATTTAATTCGTATAATAAGCATTAAGACCATTTGTTCATTACATTACTGGATTTTCGATGTGGGACTATAAACCCTAGGGAATAATTCTTAAAGCACTAGTCGATCTGGTTTAGATCATGATTATATTGTCGCGCTCTAGCGTCAATTCGGCTTCGCGCTTGGCATCCTCCTCCGACCACTCGCCGCACTTGCTGAGCACATCTGTTTCACGCGGTGGTTCGGTCTAAAATTACGGACAAGTTATTGGTTTAACGATCAAAGTAAACACGCGAATGTAATATACAGAAATGTTGTACTTTATTTGGCTTAATTCGGTAATATGAATGTCTATACCTCTTTGTCGTTGGCAGCCAGCTTGGTGAACATGTTGGCGTACAGCTTCTTCTCCTTGTTCTTGCTCTCCTTGAGCTTCTGCTTGCAGATAATCACTTGGTTGGCAGCCGCCTTGTTGCCAGGTTCCAGTTGGATGACCTGACAAGATACATGGTTTATTATAAAAGGAATAACTTCACGCTAAGCTTAACAACCTTTTGGAAGTCCTCCAGGGCGTCTTCCAGCTCATTGATGGTCAAGTTGCACTGGCCACGACGATAAAGAGCCTTCACATTACTCTCATCCAAAGCCAGAACCGCATTGCACTAAAGCACGCGGGACCAGATTAATTATGTATGCAATTAGAAGTGTTTTACCCAGAGACCCACCTCCTGCTTGGCTTCGAAGTGATCGTTGGACTTCTGGTGGCACAAAGCAATGTTGCTGTGTGTGGCCACCTTGACCTTCTTCACCTCCTCGTTGGTATCGGCAGTGTTGGGCAGCAGATTCTTGCACTTGGTGTACATCTTGATGGCCAGGGCCCAGTTCTCCTTCTTGAAGTAGTTGGTGCCCTTCTCCTTGTAGGCCTTGGCCTCCGCTAAGCGCTCCTCGTCGCTCAGCTTCCACTCCTCCAGTCCCTTGCCGCAGTCGAGTAGCTTCACTGTGTACTCAACTGTGGAGTTGGGCGGGATCTTGAACTCCTCATTGCCCTCTGCTCCAAATGCATACTTGGCCTGGATTTTAATTCTATGTTGGGGGGGTTGGTTTTAGTTCTACTAGTTTCTTATTAAGGAAATGGTCTACCTGGAAGTCTCGCCAATGTTCATCTTCTCCAGGGCAATCTCCAAGCCCTCGACAATGCCGATGGCCTTGCCCTCGCCATAGTCGAACTCCACATCGCGATCCTCAAAAACGTGGCCTCCGAAAGAACCCGAAATGTGAGCTGAGTTTAGGAAACCACATAAGATTGAGTTAACCACAGAATTTAGATAAACAAACCTTTAACGAAGGCACCATCGCTGGGAGTGCGCTTCTTATCGCTGGCCTCCAAAATGGTGCGGTCAATGCTGCCGTCCTGATTGGGACTCAAATCCTCGCCCTTCCAGCCCAGCATCTCTAGCTAAGAGTGGAAGTTGTAAGGATTAGTTTTGTCACAAGATATTTTAATGGGGTGTCACCGAAATCGTTTGATAAAATAAATACAAATTTGTAATATTTAAGATGCACAATTTAAAAGTAATATTTTGAAATTAAAGAACCCTATAATTAATCTCAATATCTATTATTTGCACAAGGGAAAAAACAAAATGTAATTTTTGTGGAAAATTGAATGAAGAAAACTAAGTTGTTGGTTTCATTTTAATAGATTCTTAACTGTATAACTTGTTTTCATAAAAAAGTAAAATATTTTCAATCTTATTACCATTTAATTTGATTTTAAAATTTATTGATCATTGCCCTAATATATTTTAAAGTAATTTCAGGGTAATCTTCTTGTAATTATCTCACTATGTAATTATATTTTAGAAACTTAAAATCGTGTTTCTCCAGAAAAAACCAACGGTCACCAAATTTCTAGAAGTTACGAATTTTCTTTGCTATTGAATTGGAACCTACTTATTGATTATTGGAACTTGCTAGACATATTCTCTGAGATAGACCAATCTTGGGACTTTCAACCCCGATATACCGTATTACCTACCTCAAATATTAGAGTAGCATCCGGCGGGATGGCCGGCGGACTGCCGGCAGCTCCGTAAGCGTAATTCGGAGCACATGTGAGGAAGCAACGCTCGCCGAGCTTCATGGTGGCCACCCCCATGTCAAAGGCCTTGATCACATTGCCTTAGGGAGCACGAAAATCAGGGAATTACTTCGGATCTGGGGCACTCGCAGAGCACTCACCTTTGCCGAGTGGAAACTCGAAGGGCTCGTTCCGAGCGACGCTGGAGTCAAACTCCGTGCCGTCGACCAGGCGACCCGTATAGTGCAGGGACACGGTGCATCCGCTGTGCGGTGTCTCCGTGCCCTTACCCTCCTGCAGGATCTCCTTGAGCACGCCGCCGTCTCCGGACAAGTCGATTTTATTTGCTTCCGGCATTTTTCCGCTCTTTAATTCGCACGATTCGATGACAAAGTGACCGTTGCCAGGCGGTTGAAATATACGCAAGTGGGACCTTTCCGCAGTCGCTTCCAAAATACCAGACAGGGGAATGAATATGTAATGAATTCATCATATAAAGAAAAGTTGTGGTAGTGAAATTGGATACATATAGTCAGCTAAGACCTAACCCCCTTTAAACCCGATACTTGAAGATTTAAAAGGTTTTTTTCGATGGGAAATAATTTTATCATCGTAATCAACAGGCGATTGTTAGAGCTATAACATTCTATATAAGATCATTGGTGGAATTTTAGCTGTGGACTTCGTTTTCCGTTAATCACGGAACTTTTTGGCTTGGTTTTGATTAAAAAATAGTTTCGGTACATTTTGTAACCCGTCTAATAGTTGAGTTAGTCCCTAGATTCTCAACATTTTAAAAATTCGTAAAGACTGCAAGCACCGTGTATCTAAACTCTATATCTAACCAATATTTTTTGTTGAAAAAAGATTTTTCAGCATGATTTGGACTTCTATTTTAGTTATATTTATGTTCACGGTTATTCTTTATGCAAAATTTTTTTTAATCAATAAGTAACCAATTTTGTGTACATGGTTAAAACTTTTGTAACGAGGTGAAGGATATATTAACCCAGTTAAAAAATATACAGTACGTTTTCTCTTCCATGTAGTGGAGATTGTCATTGTTAGCCTTTTGGTTAATCCGTTCAAACACCAGCTAAAAAATTAAAGAAATTCTGTTGTGAATTTAATTGTGATGGCTCTGCCATACACACACACACAGTCGTACACAAATGTAAGCTGCCCAGAGGCATTTAAATGCATGTGCATTCTTATAAATGTGTGCAGCATGCATCAAATATAATCCTGTTATCGTTTTTGTTACATTTGATTATTTTGCCCTTGGCTTTTGGCAGTGCCAAGTTCCATTTTGTATTCCAGCAGAACAACAAAATAAATTAATGCACTTAATTTTATTGGTTTCTATAATTCATGCTGGTAAGCTCGTCGGCTATAAGCTCTGCACAGTAGGGCAATTGGGGGCTTATGGCATTGGGCATTCGGCTATTTCATCAAGGTCAACTGGGATGATAAAAATGATAAGTCTGTATAAAGTAATCTGTGTTTGCTGCTAGATTACTTTATGGCAACCCGATGTGACTTTATTTCCTTTGATTTCCGCATGTGTCTTGATAAATCGGTGCAGCTGACGCTGTCTCCTGTTCCCTAAAATATTAGCCAGTCATCAACAACCGCTTCATCCGAGCTTCGGCTTCTAAAAGCCCGGAGTTTGGCACACTTGTCGCTCATTAATTAGGGTTCGTCAGCGCGTAATGCCACACTGAAAAAATATTTTTAAAAATATTTTTAAAAATATTTTTTAAACTGAGATAATGAATTGATACCTTTATATGGCGAAGATTTGTGTTTTCTTAGCTTTTGGCTTTGTTGACAATGTTATGTTAATAACAATTTTAGTGTAAAAACATGAACCAACAAATTTATTTTATGTTTTTTGTAAGTTTCCATTACTCTTACGAAAGGTATTCGATTTAGAATTTGGTAAAAATTAAGTCACCTGGATGAAAATAAAGGTGTTAATTATTTTAACCGAATGCATATAGCCTACAATTTTTATTATTATAAAGATTTTTGTTTAGTTCTTCTTATCCCTAAACGCACCAAAGCTCATAGTAAAATTTTCATATAAACTTAGACTTTCCTTATGTACATTAGGGTGGAAAAAAAAAAATCGTACTCTCAACGTTAAATATGCTAGTCTTTGCCGTGCACTAAATGTATTAAGACGTTTAAGACGTTGCTCAATGGTTACAAAGTTTTCGATAAGAAACACAGTGTGCGTATGAGTGATAAACTTTGAACTTTCTCACAAATGTAAGATGCCCGAAAAATTACTCATACGAAATGTGGTGTCAGTTAGAATACAATTAAGGACTTAAGTACTTATGAATGATAAATTTTGAGTCCAATGCGCTGGCCTTAAAACGAAATTATTTTCAAAAAAGGGCCTTAGTCTTAATCAAATTTTATATTGTATATATTTTTCGGAATTGCAGACACAAAATATTTTATAGCTTATTTTTAGACACCCTAAAATGTGATTTTGAATCTCTAGAGGTTTTCAATGTTTTGGAAATATTACTCATACGAAACGAGTTGTCAGTTAGAACAAATTTTAAGACCACAGTACGTATGAGCGATAAACTTTGAGTCCAATGCGCAGACCTAAAACGACGTTTTTTCCAAAATGTTGAATTTTTTTTGGAATGGCAGACTCAAAATATTTTTGCTTATTTTTAGACACCCTAATATGTGATTTTGAATCTCTAGAGGTTTCTCGGGCACCCCCGAATGGGGCACAATAATTTTTTGAGTGCCCGGTGCCCTATCCCTGTCCAGGCCCATTATTTTTTCAGGTATAGAGACATTGACCAGCGACGGTCGCCCACTCACGCTGCCGCAGTTGGCGTCGTCGCCGTCTTCGTCGTCGAAGTCCTCGTCGTCG